TCGCTCTCCTTTTTTTTCATCGTCTTTTATCTTCTTTTTGTTTCACAAAATTTAGTATCAATAAAAGTAAAGTTTCTTCTTTCAACAGAGTAAATGAAAATTCATCAACAATAAAGCTTCAAAATCGATTGAAACACTTTCTTATTATCATTATCACTTAAGAAATTGCAATTTCACTTTTCATGATATTCTGATAAGAAAATATAAATATTTTTATACTTTTATATAACTCACGTTATCGTTTAAACATTATCATTAGAAAAGATTTTCTCAATTTATTATCATTTTTCTGCATAAAAAGTTCAACAAAATTTTACGATTTTTCGTTGCTAAAAGTTTCCACAAAACTTTCTTCGTAGAAATTCAATCTTCAGTTCATGGCAAAATCTCTTGCTTTTGAAAGGACTTTTCGTTAGAAACTTTTTCCCTATTTTAAGAAATTCAAATTGGAATTTTTCCCAAAAAGTTCGAATATAAAATTGTTGTTGAAACTTATTCTTATTTCACTGAATTTCGAAAAAACGATTTCTGAATTTGCTGAAGTTTCGCAAGTTCCACAATCTTGTCAAAAAACTTTTTTCTTGAAAATATTTTTAGAAACTTTCGAAAAAGATTTCGATAAAAAATTTTGATCGAATAATCTTTTGGATTTCGAACTGAATTTTCTCAAAAATGCATTGAAATTTTGGACTTTTCATGTTTTTCTGTCAATTATTTACTGTGACTTTGACTGTACACTTTTTGGATAAATTTTTCTTTTCTATACAAAGTGGAATAAAATTATTCGAATATTTTTTATCGAAATTTTCAATATCAGCTTTTTTCGATCTTTTTGTTGTATTTTTAGCTAACAAACTGTTAACATTTGAGCTTAACATTGAACACAACAGACCGGCAACTCACATTGTATGATTAATTGACAAGTTGATACAAGTTGAATGAAATCTCACGAGATAATGAATAATCTTGAGCTTTACTTTAGAATGAAAAAAACTGATAAACATTGGAAAGGATCGCATAGCGATCTTGGGAGTAGAATAAAAAAATTGATATAATTTGTGTAACAATAAAACACGCAATTTGTAAAGCATTCTTAATCTTATTCATCCTCATATTTACCCTCAACATTGTACAATGATAATGATATTGCATTATATTAGCAAATTTTCAATTTGCTTGAAAAGGCGACTTGGCTCTCTTCTTCTTCTTCATCTTCATCATTATTTTCATTCTCATCTATTTATCCTTCTCAAGAGATTATTAATCTTTAATCTACTGAACCAATCTGACAGAGAGAATCTGAAAGCAGCAGAAGAAACAACAGATTAACAATCAAAGTTAATCAATGTTGCTTGACAATGGAGAAGCAATAAAACGAAATGAAAATGTTGATGAAGATGAAGATAAAAAGTTGGACTTTTATTCAACGGGAAATCATAAATCAAACAACATTATTATTTCAACTTGTTTGTTGTAACAATAAGTCAACATTGAGAGTCATTTATATGCCTTTCAACTTTGCAATTGGCTTCGACTGTAATGTACAAAAATATGGAACCAAAATTTACTTGAAAAGCAATAATAATGGTTAATCACATCAATTGTAGTTGCAATATTAATGTTGAGAAACTATATCAATGCTAATAATAATAAAAATAAACAATGAATGATGAAAAACAATAACATTAATGACTTGATGATAATTGAGTGCAGTTTTTCCAAGAATCAGATTAAAAGAAAAGTTCATTTCCTTTCGATATTCACACATTTTTATGAATACATTTTCAGTTTAGTTTACATTTAGATTTGAATCAATCTTTTCTCTTTGGATAAAAGAAAAAAATTCATTATCGATTTACAGGGAAAATCAATTTTTTTTTCGTTGCATTTTAATTCGACTTGGTTGACCGTTTTTTAGCTTGACTGGATTAACGGTTGATGATGGTTACAATCAATGAACCTGAAATGATATTGATCAGGAAGATGGTTACAGATGCACAAAAGGAGAAAAGTTCAGAGGAAGAGAAAAGTTCTTTATTCTTGTTCCTTCTTCGATAAACAAAGTAAATTGGTTCAACTGTCTTATTGGGTTTCATTGGTTACCATTGAGACAAATCAATTGACAGGGAAGAAAAGGTAAAAACAATTGAATTGAGAAGGTAAAAGTTTCAAGATAATCCGATTTGCTTCTTCATCTGAGTTTCCCTGTTTCACTGTTCATCTGCAACTCATTATTGGTAAATGTTGATTGAATGTAAATTAAACTAATCATTTTCAGGCAAAGGAAATTGACTTTAACTCGACTCGCTAATTCTCTTCATTTTCCAGAGAAAATGGTTTTCCATTCAATTATTAATAAAAAGTTGATCAACTTTTATTATTGATTTTCCTTTGCCCATTCATCCAGTTGATTGTTAATTGTTTAGTTAACTGCGATTAATCGATAAACCTTTTTTTCGTTCAACGTTGAAATGTTCAATTTTGCCACTTTTCAATTTACCTTTTGTTAACCCTTCAAGTTTAACCTTTACCTTTCAAGTTTCAATTTAAATATTTATGTTTTCAAAAGATTGGACTTTTGTGACTGAAAAGATTTACATTTCAATGTGATTGTCATTCATTTATTCACTTGATTACCTTTTTTGTGTTCAATTTTAATCAATTTCATTAACTCTGTGTGGTCAAAGTAATGAAATTGATCATTTGATTAATTCAACTTTAATTGTAAATTGGTGTGAGTTGAGGGACAAAATGATCAAATTGATTACATTTTTTATTTTCACTAAGAAATTTTACTTTTAAATGTTGATAAAAAAAGAGCGTTTCAGTGAAAATTGGTATTTTACCTTTTTTTGCCAAAATGATTAACAAGATGTTGATGAATGTGAAACTGTTTGCCTTTTGATTGCAATTAGAATCAATATTTAATTATTTGTATTAAAAAGATCAAGCCAATTATTATCACATTAAATGAACACAAACATGAACCTAAACTCATCAATTAAATTTGGTCAATGGTCATTGAAGATGAAGCAATGAAGAATGAAAATGTTTCATTTCTGTTTTTTTTAGCTTTGACCTTTTCTTTTGAAACTTCATTTTGAGATCAAATTTTTGCCTTCCTTTTTTGATCATCATCTTCTTCTTCATCATCTTCTAATTTACTATTTCGCTTGGATAACCATCAATAGATTGGCCTCTAATAGACCATACTTTTCACTCTCTCAGCTTCCCAATTAGACCATCCGATAACTGGGCCACCCTGGTTGTTAATTTGGACCTTAAGATGATGAACAAGATGATGAAGAGAGGAAATTAATATCATGGCAAGATTAACGGCCAAAGGTAATGTGCAATCGAGTGAAACCAAAATCGCAACTTCAGCTTCGTCGGTTAACAATGAATATTGATCGACAGTTGATAATAGCATTAGGTTAGGTTGGGTTAGGTTAGATTGAGTTAAGTCGCTTCAATCTACACCAAGAGTCGAGTATTTGCTACTCTGTCACATTGATGGTAGTGTTGGCGTTGATCAGACTCAAGATAAAGACCAAACGCAACCACAAGTTATAACTTGTAAATCTTAACCTTTAAGAGGCTTCAACCTGGATTCGAACTCGACCTTTCTTCTTGATAGTCAATTAGCTTATTGATTGAGCTAAAACAACTTTTCAACTTTTAATGATTAATGTTTTATGAAAGTTATTAATGATTTTAAGGCAGGGAATTATAAAGGTGGATATTGATTCCATTTTATAAGCGACAATAATTAACATGACTCTAAGACTATAATTTAGACTTTTTTGCATGAAATGTTTTCTTCAACACAATATTATAGAGAAATTATTCTCATATAAGGTTTGATGAATTCATCTGGATTCATGAATACATTTATTAATATAAACATACAATCATTCGATTCATAAGTTAATCAGATCGGAGTACTTCGAGATTCCACGGCAACTTCGATATAATATTTAAAGCTATGAAGAGTTTCAACTGAAATATTGAATGAATTAACTTTAACAATAAATTTTGATGGAAATGATGACATGAGGAAACTGATCGATTTAATCAATTATCTTAATCGATATGAATTGAATTTGTCCAAATTTTGATCTCTTCTGTAATTGAATAAAAAATGGATTCTCATTTCTTTCCATTGCAATCAAAAGCATTAAATGCAAATTAAAATTAATTGGCTTTACATTTATTGTTTCAAATGCAACAATCAAATGGCAAAAAGTTAAATGTAAACATCATTTATATCAATTATTATTACATTATTATGATTACAATTTTAAAATATTCAATGAAAGCAATAATAATACGACAATTACAACAGCTTTTTACTTTTAGTTGAACATTTTTCATCCATTTCAAGATTGGGTTAGCCAAAAGTCAAGTGCAACTTTTAATTCAATTAAACCATTTCATTAATGTTTAATCAATTAATATTGATTAATATGGACATACAAGTTTAGTTGGATAAAATTAATTAATACTGTTAATCAACAGAGTTAATCTGGTTTCTAGTAATGCTTTTTGGTCAACTTGAATCAACATTAAAGACAGTAAACAAAATGCTGTTAAAAAACGTATGAAAGCAAATATAATTTGAAAACATTAACAACAAATTGTGATAAACAAGATCAAAATAAACTAAAGTCAATTGAATGCAAAAACGTTCAAACTGCCCTTACCTTGATCTTAAGCCCACAAAAACTGGTTTAGCCTCTTTCCTCCAATCATCTTCATCTTCCTCATCCTCCTCATCCTCGTCATCCTTATCATCATCTTTTTCTCACTTTTTTCTCATTCTTCATCCAATATAATCCTTCAAATTTTTCCTCTCCTTCATCATCCTCATCTTCCTCATCATCTTCAATTTCATCTTCTCTTTCATTTTGCCTTTGATAGAACCTTTTACTCTTTTACTCGTTAGATGGCGCTCTTTTCGAAACTAGCGCCACCTTTGTTTGTAGTTGGCGCTAGGAAATTTTGTTAGTTGCCATTTTGATTTCTGTTGTGTTCACATCTCTGTTGTTACTCTGTGAATGCTACTTTCTCAGTCTTTTTCATCTTTTCCTTCTTTCTCAGTCTTTCTCTTCTCTCTTGCCTTTCCTTTGCGTTCACTGTTTCATTATTTTCCTTCTTTAACTTATTCTCCTTCTTACCTTACCTTACCTTTCACATATTTCTTACATACTTTTTACTTACCTTGTTTACTTGCCTTTTGTCTTCATTATCTTCATTGTCACTGTTTCTTTCAATTTGATTCTCATTCTTTATTCTTCTTCGTCTCTTTTTCTTGCTCTTCACTCTTCAACTTGTTGTTTAAAAGTATGATTCAAGTGAAAACATGAAGTATGTGCACCTTCAAAATCTCTTGTCATGTTCAAGTTCAACTTGTTCCGATCCATAATCTTAGGAATCTTTATCATACCATGTGGATTAATTTTCTAGTGTTATGTGTTATTAATTGTTATTTTACCAATGGATATAGACAACATCATGGGATCCGTCATCATAGAGGTTTGTTACAATTTAGTGTGTCTTAAGGTTCACTTGAAAATTCAGCCTTTTCAGTTTTTCCACTGGTTTCTCTCTTTTTTTATAGCAGTTTATCAGTTCCATGGTCAACATTTTATTGTACTTTTTTCTCTGTTCTTTATCGATCCTTTTTTATCTTTTCATCTTTCTCTATCTCTTTAGAGTATCTTCAATAATCTTTTCCTCTCTCCACTTCATTCAAGTTTCCAGCTTTTCACATGAAAAATCAAATGATTAGCAATGTTGTCTAATGTCAATGTTTTTCTTTATCAAATGATGATTTGTTAATATTGTTGCCTTTTCACTGAAAATCCATTATGAAAGACACAAAATGGCCATCCCGGTCTTTTGCCTTTCCCTTTAACCTCTGTTCAATTTCAAACCATCAACTTAAACTTCATCTTGAAAAATGCATTCAATTTATTTTTTCTCTTCTCTTTTCTCTTCCCATCTTTTGTGCCATGTTTTTACCTCCCTTAACATCACAAACAAACAAAAATGTTTATCAACAAAAAACAATTTTTGCCTCCAAAAAACAACAACAATGTGAACCAAAAACAAAAATTGTTAACCTTGTTCAGAGCACGTTCGTGAGTTCAGCTGTGGTAAACTTTACTATAGAACTTTTCATCTCGATCCTCGTCGAGATGTCCTTTATGTTGGAGCAATGGATAAAATATTTCGACTCGATTTGGTCAACGTGAACAGGACCAACTGTGAAATTGATTCAGTGTCTTTAGAACCAACTAGTGTCTCCAATTGTGTATCAAAAGGTAAATCAGAGCATTATGATTGTCGAAACCACATCAGAGTGATTCAACCCATCGGTGATGGAAACCGTTTATATGTTTGTGGTACCAATGCCCATTATCCCAAAGACTGGGTAATCAATTCAAATCTATCTCGTTCACATTCACAAGAAACTTTCCCTGGAATTGGAAGTGGCATTGCTAAATGTCCTTTTGATCCGGAAGATAATGTTACTGCAGTTTGGGTTGAAAATGGTAACCCAGGTAATTTGCCTGGACTTTACAGTGGCACAGTTGCCGACTTTACCAAAGCTGATTCAGTCATTTTTCGCACTGAACTGTTCAATTTAACAACTCGACAGTCAGTTCATCCTTTTAAGCGAACCATAAAGTATGATTCTAAATGGCTTGACAGTAAGTATTCAATATTTCATCATGTTTATTACCATTAGCCTATTAACATTCATCTCAATAATTGCTTCACTGAACTCCTCAACATCAGTATCAACATTCAACATTCAGTTTACCGTATTTTCACCAAAAGTAAATTTATTCTGACAAAATAACAAGAAATCAATCAAAATGAGCTCTTTTTTTATAATTGAACAAAAGATTCCTGTGAATGTTGATTAACTTTACTCAATCAAATTTTACCCTTGATGACATTTGATTAAACATGTTGATTGCTTAGATGCTTAGCTCATGAATCGGATTAAATCTCAATGAAAATCTCATGTTTGACTTGCAGATTAGAATTGAAAAATGATTAAATAGAATCTGGAAATTAGTTAAATCTTATTATCATCTTAAGTTGATTTAATTTTGGATTAACATTGTATGCAAAAGATGAGATTCAAATAAAATTGTGATTAAACAGCAAACAATGTAATTGTTAGCAAAAACTTGAATCAAAGAAGAAAATAGTTTTTAAAGTTTCAATCCATTTATAACTTTATTCAATTTGGATGAATCAACGATTATAAGATGAACATTTTTTCCATTAAAATTCATTCGAAACCAAAAATCGAACTAAAAGTCGATTCAATTTTTCTAAATTTCTCTTCTTCTTAATTATAACTTTCATATTTATATTTAAAGATCTCAATGTTTATCATGAAATCATAGATTTACATTATTCTTATTTGATTTACCAAATTCAGATTCGTTCAAACAACTTAGTTTCGTAGCTGGAAAGAAATGCCTCAAGCAAATTTCATTGTATAAGCAGCATTTTATGAACATGTAAATATGAATGAAATAAGATTTTTATGATTCACATGAGATTCATCTTTACTTTAAATCTTCATGTAATTATGTATGCAATAATTAATGATATATTCTGAATAGAATCTTGAAATTTGATTGAGAAGCAAAAATATCTTCAACTTTTGAGAAATGCTTGTTTAGGTGAGTTTGTGCATCTATTCTCGTCCCAATGAGAAGCATTTGGAAAAAGTAAAACCAAAGAAAGCAATTAAATTGCAGATGATAAAAGTGAACGAAAAAATGTATGATCTTTGAGTTGACCAAAGGTCCACGCCTGGTCAATAGTCTAAATATTTGATGTAATCAATAGTTGAAATCTTTTGCATCTTTGTCTACTTTTAACTTGTTCAATCCCTCATTATCTGTTTCTCTTTGTATCTTTATTTTTCCTCTTCACCAAACTCATCCTCATCATCCTTCCTTATCTTCTTCCAATGAACAATCATTTCAACAGTTAGCATCATCTATCCAATTCACTCACGCAAGTCCATACAACCATCAGGTCGATTATTTTAGTGGTAAACTTATTAACAATAAAATAACGATAAAGTGAGAGGAGAGTTGAGTTAGACTCTAATGGCAATCTTGACAAAATTAGATCCATTGAGTAAAGGAAGAAGATGATGGCAAAGATGAAGAGAAACAGTGAGAATGAAAGAAGCAGAAGAAGAAAAAGAAAGAAAAGAAAGGGCAAGGGTTTGGTTCCTTTTTTTATTGAGTTAGAATGTTATTAACTAGACTTATTTTCTTATCATGGTTATTACTATTACCATTATTACTATTGCCATTATTATTGTTCTCCTCCCTTGCAGAGCCTAATTTTGTTGGTTCCTTTGATATTGGTGATAATGTGTACTTCTTTTTTCGGGAAAGCGCCGTCGAGTACATCAATTGTGGTAAAAATATTTACTCTCGAGTTGCCCGTGTTTGCAAGGTAAGTCGTTATTTCGCTCAACATTTAATCATTACTGTACACTTGAAGCTGCAACATGCACAAAACCATTTTTACATCTAATATTATGTCATAGACTTTTGTTTAAAAAGGTTTAACATTTTAACAATCAGTTGTCAGTGCAACTCTACTTTTATCATTTCATGCCATTTCAAAGTTTTCCACTAATATTGTTACTCTTTTTTTGTTGCTTGTTAGTTTTGATATGTGATTTCAATATGAAAGTTGACAAACAAGATGATTCTCCTCATCTCTTATGGGTTATCATTACCCATTGCTATGATTACCAGAGAGTCAGGTTCAAGTTAAAGTGATTTTGTGTTTTCTTGCTCAGGATTTCCTCTTCTATCCTAACAACAGTTGAGTCTATTGAAGCGCACTTTTAGGATGATGATGGGGATGATGTGGATAATGATGATGCCGATAATGAAGGTGACACTTTTCATAGTGAGATATAATTTTTTCTTCTTCCTCAGTCTACAGAAAAATGTTAGAATCTTTTTTTTCCCATAATCTCTTGTTGACAAGAGATGCAAATAGTAGTTTAAATATTTGCTCTAGTAAGTGCAATTATAGATGAAAATGTCATCATCAGTGTGTGTGTGTATACATGATATAAGACACAAGATGATGAAGGAGGAAAAAAGTGGGAGAAAAGATGAGAATTGGTAAAAAGGAGTTTCAATATCAAATTTTTGTCACAATTTGTGTGAGATTCGCAATTCACTGAATACTCTTTGTGTGTTCATCTCAAGTGATTATGTTGTGAATACTTGCGTCTGTTGTTGAGAGAGAAAAAGGAAAGACAACAAAAAAACGTATTTCTCTCTCATCTTCATCCTCTCTCTCGCCATGTTCATCATTTTCTTGTTTCTTTTTCTTTCCCCAATTCTGATTACCAAATAGTGTTTCAACTGTTTAGCCCTTTCACTCTGATGATTACAAACCTTTTCATCCTTTTCATTCTCATCGTCATGTTTATTCCCTGCAGATTGTTCAACCTTTAAAAAGCTTTTGCTGTATTACACAGTTTCACTTTCAATTCTCATCTTCATTTTGCCTTTTCAAATGCATTATTTATTCAACATAACTTTTCCTTTAATTTTTACTCTTGCAACTGAAAAATGTTAAATGTTTGTTACCTCAAAGTTCAATATGTAAACCCTTCTTTTTTCCCCTTTCATCTCATTTAAATAACTAAATGATTGACTCTAATAATCTGATTAATGATTGGGTTAAACATTAACTGTTTGACTCTTCAACTTTATCTGAAACCTGTTCAATATTTGAAACGATATTCTGAGCACAATGAGAAATTTTGATTGTTATTGTCTTGCCACTTGTCAAAGTAAAGGTTAATGAATACATTTGAATGCACTTGCACCACTTGATTTGCAAAGTTAATTAGTTTCCATCATCAAATGACAAAATCAACTTTTCCAATCTGATATTTCAATTCTGATAACATCAATTTGGCTCTCTGGAAACTCTTTTCCTCTCTTCCCATATAAAACTTTCCACCTAATCATCAATTCTTAATGAACATTGAATCAAGAAACAAACAAACGAACAAAAAATGGCAACAAGAAAAAAAGACTTCACAGTAAATGCAATTTTAATGTTGAATCAAAGTAAAGGGAAAACAATACATTTCACCCTTTCTCACCCAACTTGCCATAATTTTGTCATTGTCAGGTTAAACAATATTTTGGGTTAAACAAAAAGCAAAGAGTAAAATGGAAAACTCGATTATTCTCACCATTCGTATCAATCATGTATTAATCTGAATCTGAAACTTAATCAACCTTCCTTTTCTCCCCTTCAACTCTAAAAACCCTTTTAAACGTGAAACTCAATTTTGTGAGTTCACAAGGAAAGAAGCAAAGCAAAAAAAACCTTTCACTGTATAATATATTATTTATAGTGAAGCTTGCCCATGTAAAACTGACAGGATATTGAATCAATGAAAATGGATAAAAGTTGACTTTGCCTTTTCTCCCTATAATCCATTCTCACTGGCAACAATGAGCAAGATGGTGATTCAGTTTCTCACTTTCATCTTTACTCTTTCCAATTGCTTTTCTCATACCTTTAACCACTTGCCTTGATGTTGCTCCAAAAATAATATTGGTATTTGATGTTTCCCTGTTTCTATTATCTTACACAAGAAATAACAGCTCTTTTCACAAGATGATGATGATACTTTTTTTTCATCATATAATACATTTTACGAATAATATCTCTTTTTTTTGCAACAAAATTTCATCTTTTTTTGGTGTTCTTTTTTGGTTGATGATGGTGGCCAAAAGTTGAAAGGAAAAATGGTTACCTCTCATTTTGTTGCTCTCATCTTACCTTTTCTCATCTTATTTCATCTTGTTTCTCCATCTTTATACCTTGCATCAGTCAAGATTGATTGAAGTGAGTTTACATTTTTACTCTTTTTTCTTACTCTTCAGCCCAACAGCCACTAAAAAGGCTTCTCATTTATCTCTGGTCATCTTGGTTCATCGTGAGGTTTCATGAATTTCATCTTACAATACTTGTTATTCTTGCTCTTTTCTCTTCATTTTCATCTTCACTCTGATTTCTATCTTCTTCATTCCTCTCTCTGCTGGAAGTCTTTCTTTCTCTCTCTTTTCATGTCCTTTTCATCTTCTCACTCAAACAAAGAGCCAAACAAACCTCCTTCAACATTCAATTTTTCACCAGCCTGACTCTGTTGAACATCTTAAATGGTTAAAACATTTTCTACCTTTTTCTTTCCATCTCAAGGTAACATAATTTGATTTGGTTACACATTTAAAGGGCCAAGAATAGCAGTGAAAAGATGATGATGATGAGCAAGAAAGATAGCAAGATGTCGTTGTTGAATAAGGAATCAAGCGTAAAAACTTTCAGATTGAGATTCTTTCTTCAGTTTTCTTGCTTTTCTTTTTGGATAGTGAATGAAAATAAAAACTCAATGGACCTTATTGGACATTATTAAGTGAATGTTCGATAGTCCTCAATATAATCATCAACTTGATCCAAAGAAGAAGAAGAGAAAAGAAGAAGAGCAGAAGAAAAAAAGAAGTAAAAATGTCTTCTTGTTTCTTTCATTTCTACTTTTTCTTGGTTATAATATCATCTTTTATGAATTGAAATGGGCAAAGATTTTGTTTTCTTTTCATATAAACGCAGTTATCATGGCATCAAATCACCACCCTTTTCCCTTCATAATCATCATCAATTCCCTTTGCAACAGCATCTTTAACCACCTTCTTTTACTTTCCTAACAACCATCATCATCATCTTCTTCTTGCTCTTCGTCTTTCCCCTGAAAATAAGAAGCAACATCTTAGATACATTTGACAAGTTACATTATTGTACAATTTTGTGCAACATTCCCATTCTAGTAACTCACTAATATCAGACTTTTATGTCTCCTAAATCATGTGTTTATCATCATTCAGTATCAATGGTGTTGATACTGTGTAAATGAATGTGAAAAGGAGCAAAATGTAAGGAAAGATGATGATGATGGGAAAGAGGAGGTAAAAGTAGGAAAGATTAAATTTGAGAAAAGAAACTTTTCTTGTGTTATTTTTTTCATCTCTGTGTTGTCCTCTTGTTGTGTTTAACTCATGTGATTATTTCCGGCTCTAGGTTGTTGGGTCAAGTAACACTTTTCAGCTATTCAAATGACTGTGACTAGGAATTTTGTGACACAAAGAATATGATGATAATGATGAGCAGGAGGATGTGAATGTTGATGAAGCTTGTGAAATGGTGAGTTTGCGTGGAGAGAAAAAAATGAGCCTGAAAAAATGTTCAGCTTATTCGGACTGATGGTTGACTAAACTGTGAAAATGTGCAACATATTTTTCAGCCTTTTATTTGTTGATTTGTTAACAAATGAAAGCGTGTTGAGAGTGATGAAAGTGGTGCTTTTAGACATTAAAGATGGTAAAAAAGACGATAATCGCACATAGACTCTGAGACGATATTTATTCTGGTTAGAGTTTTGATGATTTGGGTGGAAAGATGAAGGAAGAGGCAAGATGTGAGAAGGATGAAAAGAGGAACATTTAATGAGGTGAAAATGATTTGAAGGAATTTTGAACGCGTACAAAGCTTGCATAGTAGATAAGGAACTGATTTATACAGAGATTTTTTCGCCCTTTTCTTTTCATTTTCATCTTCTTTTGATTCATATTCTGAACATTATCATCTGCCTCATCATTATCATCATAAGCATCATCTTTTTTTTTCTTCATAACTTAACATGCTTGTTGTGATTTATTGAAAGGAAAAATAATGATAATGCCGAGAGTGAGACAATAAAATAAGATGATGAGAGATGATGAGAGAAGAAGAAAAGAAATTGAAAAAGGAAAAGATTCAAGTTTAACAAAATGATGACTGATATAGCCAACATTATTGTACCATTATCAAACATTAGTTTTATTGCAAAGGCAAAAAAGATAATCAAAAAATGGATTTCAATAAAAGAACAATTGAAAACTATTTAAATGATTCAACTGTGTTTTTGCTCAACATTCAATTTACATCTAATTTGGGGAAATAGATTCAGTTAAACTGTTTGACTGTGAAACTAGAAAAGGTCAAAATTTACTTCAATCAAGCTCAACTTTATCCATCTTTCAATGAATTTTGCAATTGAATAGATTCTGAAACTGAATGTAACTTTGAAAATAATTGTTGAGTTTCTCGAAATTAAATGTATTCCGTGATTAACGAACATATTGAAGGTTGAATTTGTCGAGATTCAACTGAATTTGTATCATGAGTTTCTTGAGAAACATTACAAAACGGTTTGCAATTGCATTTGGTGTATTCATTTAGTGATCAATTTATCATCAACTTTTGAAGTTTTGATGAAAACTTTGATCAATTTTGTTTATTTTGGTCCTTTTCTGGTCAAAGAAGTAAAAATTTGATAAAAGATGCAACAAAATATGTTGGTGAAACCATCAAAAAAATATGATGAGCAAGCAAAAGAAATTTTGATTTCTTTTCAACTTTATCCTTGTTTCCACTCTTCTTGCTACTCTTTGCTCATTTTGAATCAATAATCTTGAAATACCCTGTAGAGCTATTCACAATGATACTTTTTACTGGTTAACTTGCCTTATTTCCTCAGATCTGTCGCTGCTGGATACATCGTTTGCAATCTCATTTTTTGTTTCTTGCCATTTCAACTTGTTTCATAACTTTATCCATATCATGTTTAGATCAATGCATATCAATGTATAGTCAATGGATCATGTTCACAGCAATTGTTTTTAAGTCTCAATTTGATGTGAGTCTGTTCAATCTCAAGTGTACATCAGCAATGTTTATTGATTCAACTTTTACCTTCCCTGATAAACTGGTTATCATAGTTTTTCCATTGTTTTTGTTGATTCTCAGGAAACACCAGAAAGAGTTAACATAAATCAAAGGCATAAATAATATCGTTCAATATCTGTGTTGAGAAAAACAAAATGTTTAACAATTTTTACCAGTTTTTTGTTTCTCGAGCTTCTGCCATTTTCAATGCAAATTGAGTTGTTATTCAATGCAACATTTATTCAAATTGCAATTGTTTCTTCATTTTCATGTTCAACACAAAGCAATCATTATCATCTTGATTAGTGTGAAAGGTTAACGGCTTTTTTGCATCAATTTTTCATCACCTTTCTTGAACTTAATCAGTCTATTTCCCTTTGAATATCATTCTTTCCATTTGTAAATTTGATCATAATTATCTGTGTAAACCTCTTTTCCTTGAAATTCAACATTTTTCAATCAACTTGAAACACTTTTGATTGTCTGTGAACACACAAAACCCAAAACCTGAATCACTTGAAACTCTTTGCATCATTAAGCCGACCATCAACAATATACCAACATTTGCATAAAAAATTTTCTTCCCTTTCAATTAAATAATGTTAATAACAAGGTAATGGACGCCATTTTGATAAGTCAAAAGTATTAACAAAAACCAGGTTTTTACCTGTGATATAAACTAGAAACAAGCCTTTTAATTTTGTATCTTGCTTTAAGCCTGTCTCTACGGTTTTTGTTGCTGCTGCTTTGGTTCATCATTATCATTATTTTTGCTACATTATAATATACTAATGATAATAATGATAAAGGTTGAATGTTGGTTAAAAACAGTGAGCTGAATCACTCAATTAGAGGGTCGGTTGGTTGCTGGTTACAAGGGTAACCAAAGTAACCGGTTGTTCATCTATTTATGTTAACTCTTGATACAGTTTCTTTGCCTGGTTAAGGTTACAGGAAAACTGGTTTATCTGAGTTTCTCAACTCTCATCCATTTTTGTCTTTCCAAAGAGCTGATCGTTATGGTTATTTAATTGTCGTTTTTCACTGTGAAAATTGAGCTAATTACCTTTCACCAACAATGAACACTTTTAATGTTTTGTTGACAAAGCAAATTGATTCAAAGAGTTTATTAAAGTGCGCTTAATATCAATGAAAATGAAAATTGCAATTTAGCCATTTGATTTACTATGCCTTTGATGATTGACTTTGAAATTGCTTGAGGTTGGTGAAGAAAGCTGAGGAATAAACATTCTCAAATATTCATTTCAGTTTGGCCAACATTTGGTTAAGAGTAAATTTATTGAAGTCAATTTGAAAATTAGTTGATTGTTGTCTAAATATCTGCTTTGAATTTTGCAAGATGACAAGTTTTACTCATCAATCTTGCCACCTTTGCTGGTCAAAAGCCTCTATCAGTTTCTGTGCCATTTCATTGACCATTAGTCTGGATTGCTATAAATGTCAATTTTTGAGTTTTTTTGATGTGAAAAAGGAAACTTTATTTCCTAAATCAAATTTAGTTTTCAAAGTAACATTTTCATCAAGTTTCTTGTCACAATAATAATGCAAAATAAACTGATGATGAATTTCAAGTGAACCAATTGAACTTCACTTTTAGTTGACAAAAAAATAAACTTTGACTCAACAGCAAACAAAATGAACTTTATTAGAATCAAATCAACTTTTTGTCCTCCAAATGAACAGCAAATTCAGTTTTGCCAAGTTAATTTGCAAAGCAAGCCAACCATGGCAAAATAATCTAATGATAAACATTGAACTTTCAACTAAGTCACTCGATTGACCTTTGATTTGATTCCTTAGGACAAACGTTGACTCAATTGTAGAGGAAACTTTATATAGAACTAAATTAATCTCACATTTCAGAGTAACTTTCCTGTTATCAATGCAGCTGTTTATCATTTTTTGTCACAACCATGCAAAGCAGCCAAGTAATGAACTTTGAACTGAGTCGAGTCAATTTTCGAGTTTATTTGTTGAATTTACATCAGCTTTTGATGGTTTTACCAGCAAAATATTGCAATTTTGTTGTGTTATTATGATGAATGGAAACAGTTTTTTAAAACTGAATTGCTTGATGTTCACCTTAATCAACCTTGACATTTGATTCCATCACATGAAAACTCATGATAATTTGTTAACATGAATTTGTTTTGTGTTTTTTGGCAACATCATTTTCCATTCATTTTTTATTCCCATTCTCTGATAAACTAATGCAATATCAAACTTTATCTCAAACCATTAAAGATAAAGTGAAAAAATTATACATTTTTCATCATTATTTTCATTCATCATTAATGTTGACTATAGAATCGTTGAAAGTCCATTAATCTGTTATTGTCATTAATTTTTTTTCTCCTTCGTACTTGTTCGCAATGCAACCAGAAAAAAATGTACATTTAAAGCTTACTATTGGAGCAAAGTAAAACTTGAAAGATGATGAGGAAGAAAAAAAAGAAGAGGCAAAAGAAGAAGAAGAAAAAAAGTTAACACAATATTGTATTTTGGATGAGAACGGAAATAAACGTTTTGTACATTTTCCAAGTTCCGGTCAACTTTCAGAGTCACGCAATCAATTGAGTGGCCTTAGAGAGATAACAAGTTTTCATCATTTACAATCATTTGAGTTTCCCATTGGTCAGTCTTTTTTGCACCACTTTTCCTCTTCCCTCCCTTGACCTGTAATCATTTGTCATCATCACCCATCAACCTACAGACAGTCATGATGGACCAAAATGAGGTTCAACAGTAGCAATACTTTTGAGCACTTGTTTCAGTTGATCGCCAGCATTTCAACTAAATAGATCTTAATGGTTTCTCTTTTCCTCATTTTCATCACTTTACTATTTTCTTGTTTCATGTTTCAATTTTCAAATTGTATCATTACTATTATTATTGGTCATCATTAATTCATGTTGATCAATAACAATTTTTGCACCACAATCCATTCCATCATTAACATTATTCCTTCACATCTAATTGATGTGTCATTCCTGTCATTTACCATGTATCTATGTTACCTTTGTACCTTTCTAACAGCAATAGGAAATGACCAGAGGAACTTGAGTATAAAATATGTATTACCAATGTTTAGGGAATGTTGACCAGGAAATATTATATATTTATATACATAAAACTGGTTTCCATCTGTGATGCTTTTACATCATTTATGTTCACCTTTTCATTAATCACGTGACTGGTCATGGATACATTTTTGGTTAATTAATATTGATACAGGTCATAGTTAAAGGTAAAGCCTCATCCATCAAGTTAATATTAGGCTATTGGAATCTTTGGTACCTGATGGAGAAGGGAAAAGATGAAAATGGTTGGCAATGGTGAACATGGAAAAAGATGAACAAGAAAAATGGTGAAAATGAAGATGTGCATTTGTGTTGTGTCTTGATGATGAGCGATAGAGAAATAAGTCATTCACAATGAGCAATAGATGTAAAAACGTGAGAGAAGAGAAGGTAAAAGATGATGATGGTGATGATGAAAAAGACATCATCTGTATCTTGAGGAATTACACTCAATCATCATCTTCAATTATAGCCTCAAGACTGTGTTTCGGATGAACGATAAAGGATGAAAGGATTTGCTCTCCGGGCTCAACAATCATTCCTTTAGCCTCTCCTTACTTTACCAACTACTTGGTCCTGTTGACTGTTATTGTTGGTGATAATGATGATATTGTTGTTGTTCATCATCGCAACCTTACCTCTTGTTTGTTTCCTATCAACATTAAACACAACCATTTTCTTCCTTTTTTTCTTCTTCTTCTTCACCATTTTCATCATAATCATCTTTTTCATTTCATTTAATCATTTTCATTTTTTCTCTTCTTACTCTTCTCACCGTTTACTCACATTTTTTCACTCACTTCTGCTGCTTCGCTTTTCGTCTACATTTCTTGTTCCCTTGCTCTTCCTTTCATCCTTCAACTTTTCAACTCGTTAATTTAATTAACTTGCAAAATAACTTCATCACTGGGAACCAAACTTGATACATCCTCTGTGCTAGTTTTTTTCACTTTATGCCATCTTCAGGCTATTACATTGATTATATTGATTATTGTTATCAAGCCAAATGTTTGCACAATGTTACAATGTTTTGCTTCCACTTCCCTGTCAATTATTATATTACAATTCATTTCTTTTCCTCCTCATCATCTGCATCACTCACTAACACAATTAAATTTTCACTTGAAACTGGAAACACCGAGAAAGTGAAATACATTTCTCTAAATATAAATGTAAATATTGAATGAAAACTTTTATTTCCCCTTAAATCGGGTGGAGTTGGTAATGTAATTACAAAAGTAATTCAACCAATCAATATTTTAAACTATTGAATGACAGAAAAGGTAAAAGCTAAAAGTATATTAAACGTTGCAACTTGAAGTGTACAGTAAATTTGTGGCAAATTAAAATTGAAATTGCACTTGAAGAAAATGCCTAAAATTGTTGATTAATTTTGTTGTTGCAACCATTACTTTACATTTACAGAAAGACAATGGCGGTCGAAGCATTTTAAACAAAAATTGGGCCACTTTCATGAAGGCTCGATTAAACTGTTCGATCCCAGGAGAGTTTCCGTTTTATTTCAATGAAATTCGTAAGTATTAATTACATTTTATATCAACTCTTTTCTCATTCTTTATTTGTTTCCCATTTCGCGAAACTTTCATTAATAACAATGCCTTTTCCAGCTCTTCCTCTATACATCATTAAGCACATCTAAAAATCTCACATTAAGAATCTTTTCTTTACTTTTTTTTATAAACTTTACTAAACTCTTTGCCTTCATCACCTTTTTCATCCCTATTTTTTGTTACTTTTCACGCACAATTCTTTTTCACCTTTTTTCTCTTGTTCATCTTATTGAACATTCTTGATGATTCCTGTGTTTCTCATCATTTTTTTCTTCTTCCACCCATTTTCATTCTTTTCTGTTCACATTTATAACGGGATTTACTTGACGTCCCAATGGATGATGGTAAACTGTAAACTCCTGTTTTCTTGCTGATACCCACTTCACATGGATCCTCTTGTTACCAATCTTGTTACCGCATCATCACCTTGATATTTTCACTTCTCATCGACCACTCAACCAACCGATACATTATTTTTTTTGTTGCCTTCACTTTGGAAACAAACACAAACCAAAACTACAAAATGATTTTCGAAAATGAAAATTTCTAAATGGATTGTTGACTTTTTCCATGAAATGATATTCAGAACATATTTACAAGCATCCAGATGATAATAGTAAATTTTATGCCGTTTTTTCAACCTCTTTAAATGGTTTAATTGGCTCAGCCATTTGTACATTTACACTAGACTCTATTCAAGAAGTTTTCAATGGTAAATTTAAGGAACAATCAAATTCCATGTCTGCCTGGTTACCCGTTTTATCCTCCAAGGTACCCGAACCCAGGCCAGGGGTTTGTGTTGATGATACCCAATCGTTGCCTGATTCTGTGCTCAATTTCATTCGCGGTCATCCGTTGATGGATTCAACAGTTACCCATGATAATGGTAAACCCGTCTTCTACAAGAGAGACACGGTTTTCACCCGTATCGTTGTGGATAAACTTCAAGTTGATGGAATCCAGTATTTAATCTATTATGCTGGAACCTCAACTGGTGAAGTTTACAAACTGGTCCAATGGACTGATCGAATGGGTGAAGTCCATTCAAATTTGGTTGATGTTTTTGAAGCAACCAGCCCACATCCAGTGAGAGCCATGGAAATATTTCCCAAATACAAGTCATTATACGTTTCATCTGACTTTAATATTAAACAATTTCACCTTTCAATGTGTAAACAGCGCCATGACAATTGTCTTGGTTGTATAAGAGATCCTTATTGTGGTTGGGATAAAGATCACAATGAATGTAAACCTTATGTGATTGGGTAAGTTAACATTTACTTTTGAACCATAAATTACTTGGAGTTACCATGATACTTAACATGATTGTTAATGGGAATCACTTGGAAACAGAGTAAATTTATATTCCAATTGACATTTCAACAAAAATATTGCTCTCTATTACAATGGGATTCAACTTGAAGATTGAGATTTTTGTAAACAAATCATTTTCACGTTCACTTTAATGCAACTCTCATCAAGTCAACAGACAAAACATTTCTTTTTGTTTTTATCCGACTAAATGTTTATACTCATTTTCATCATTCCTATCATCATGCTTAATCTCGCCAAATTTTCATCTCTTTTCTTGCTTCTCTCATCATCCAACTTTCCTCTTTTGTCACTCTTTTCTTCTCGCTAAATGATGTATTCACATCTCTCTTTCATTCATTTGTTCATCTTTAATTTTCACATTGCTTTCCATGGATGAGTAAAAAAAGCAAGTGAAAAGGATATCAATTGGTGAAAAGATGAATTGAAGAGGAAATAGGATCAACCTTGAGCCTGAAAATTAGGATTACAATGAAAAACCTTATTTTTACTTCATCTCTTGTAGTAGGATTAACTGGAGATGAGGGAATAGATGTTGATCCAAGGGTGAGCAAGACATTTGCGAGAGAAAATAGAAAGATGATGAGATGTCGAGTTTAAAGTTTAGGGTGAAACTCAAGACATGGAATGGGGTTAAAAGAGGAAGAAGAAGAAATGCAAAGAGGAGAAAAATTCGTTAGCAAAATAAAAACAAAGATGACGGATGTTCTGTCTCCTCAATAGTAACATTAATTTACCAGATGATGAGGACGATGAGAGGATAAAGATGAGGTGATGAGTGTAGTGATGGGTTTGCATAAAAGCATAATTAGATGGTCGCCCAACGCACTCAATACTCTTTTGTCCCTTGTCAAGTCCAAGTCTCAACCCTCATCCTGATGCTTATTTTCATCAACAAAGTCGCATTATCCAAGAGACGGTAAAGAGGAGAAAAAAAAGTTTCATAGTTAGCAGCTAATTAAGGTTTCTTTATCAACGTGCATAGCTTAACATCATCAGCTCATCATCATCATGTTTCCAGTATAAAGAAAGTGTAAACATGAAGGATAAAATGAGAAGGCAAATGAAACTGAATTAAAGGAGAGAAAACTAAAGTTAATATAATCCAAGTAAATTAGATGAGGATGAAAGGAAAGATGATGAGGCGAGAAGCAAGAAAAAAAGTGTCTTCGGTTCACCTAAAACTAACAAAGACAAAAAATGTAATGTTTAATGTATCTCTTGCCATCTAAATTCAATTCTGCATGCAAATTACTGTTGATGATGGTTGATGATGAGTGAGAAATGGCAGAAAATTGCGCATTTATGTTGATATCATTTATGTATTTTTTCATTTCTATTTATCTTTATATTCATTCAACACTAGATAAAGGTTGATTGCTGCAAGACAAACATGTTTCTCTGTGAATTCAGGGAAAAAGAGGAAGAAAAAAATGATTTCACTAAATGAGTTGGTTATTAGTTTTGAGTAACATCATTTGTCTCTAGTCATTGCAAAATTATCATCGTTTTATCATCATTGTCTTCAATCGTTTTCACTTTTCTTAATAACTTCTCATCATCGCCCAAATTTGCTTCATTAACAGCAATCAACTTTGTTTTTTTCGTCTTCCTCTTGTAATACTTTTTCACATTTACATTAACATTATTGGATTAACTTTGTAGTAAGTTTAGATCTATTGTGTTTAGTTTCAGTGTAACTCATTAGGGAAACAGTAACAATGGCGTTACAAACTTTCCATGTAAATTGAATTCAATTAAACAAAAAAGTGTGTCAATATGGGTACAACCTCAAACAAGTCAGTGATTAAAATAGTAACAAACAATTATCTTTCCGTTATCACAATGATTGAACTGAAAAAAGCAATTATTATTCAAACGGAAATATTTTCATTTTAATTATGTTTGCTGAGCAACTTTGGCTTTACATTAGTTTCCAGTTGCATTTGTTGATTAAAGTTAGAGTAACCCAAATGACCGGTTAATATACAGTTTGATGAAATGTTTAATTGGCTAAAGGTCAACTTTAGTCATAAATATAATCACCTTTGGAGGCAATGTTAGGGTTTATCATTCAATGTCACTTTCTTCAGATCAAATGAACCTTAATCGTTGAAGAAAGCGATATTTTTAGCAACTTTTTTGTCACAAAAATAATGCAAGTAAACTGAGCCAATCGATGTAAATTTTTAGTCAAACTTGACTCTACTTCATATCAAACAAAATGAACTTTAGAAGCAAATCAATTTAGTTTTTACCTAATAAGTCGATGGTTTCAACAATTCCTATCGAATTTACCATTTCAGAATTTATTCATTTATGAATTGACCGTTTATGTCAACTCTATGTGCTTTGAAAGGTTGAAAATGTTAGGATGAAATCAATTTGCTGAGCCAATCTTGATTTAGTTGTGCATCAATTTATTGAGTTGCTATTGAAGAGGATTAGGATTAGCATTTTTCCCTCTTAACATTTCCAATTATATACATCTGTATTAATGCGATTAAACTGTTAAATCATGCAAGTCAAGGGGTTAATTGTCAAACCTTAAAATTGGGTTGAAATGCAGCTCGTTTCAATTAAATAGTTTCCACCTTTGGGTTGTGTGTGTTGAAATTAATTTAGCCCATTACTTGTGGCTGCGATTTAACCTTAAAAGTCTTGAACTGTTGGTCAAACCATTCAACCCTTTAATATGATTGTTACAATAGAGGATAAAAATAACGCAATTAGACCGTTGATCAATAACATGAACACACAAAACAATAACACATGAAGCAAAATAAAAATAATCATTTCTCTCATTTCAAAGTTTCTCCTCTCTCTCTCTCTATCTATCAATGCGAATAAGCTTCACCAATCAACCAACTCCACAGGGCTAATCATGAGTATTGAAATAGTGTTAATGGTTAGTCCATTTATATTATTTGTGTTACGCTTGCAAGAGTTTATCGTTTTAAACCCTCCCTTCATCATCTGCCTTCATCCTTCCATCATCCTTCCATCATTATCATCCTCAACTCTTGCAATTTATCCCTGAAAATCAATTGTCTATTGGTTTTACTTTTACTCCTTAATTGTATTTGGAGATAAATTTGGGGCGGAGAATTAGGTTGACCAAAAACAGAGTATAAATGGGTTAATTGTTACACACTTTGATCATCTTTCCTTTATTCTTGTCATCATCCTTTCACCAGTTAATTGATAGCTTGAGTTTTTACCCATGAATAGGTAACACACAGACAATCAAATTGACACAAAATAAAAATACTATTTACTCAAATGCAATTGTCCAGGTAACAAAGGCCCAAGCAGTTGACAGTAAACTGCAATGGATACCAGTTTAAACAGATGATATGTTTTGAAGGAGAGATGATGATAAAGGGATTAAATGATTAAAGTGAAATGAATTAAAATAGGAAAGGGAATTAAATTAATACTAATGCTTTTTGTGGATCAAAAGATGAGACTTTGAGAGACACAAATCAAGTTAACAGAGAAAAGCTGAAGAAACATTAATCAATTGAATAATGGTGAGATGATAAAGTATAATTCATATGAAAACAGGGAATGGAAGGCATCAATTAAAATTTTGAACCATAACTCAACTGATATGAAGAAGAAGAAGAAGAAATCTCATTTTCTTCTCTTCTTATTAGTTAACTTATTATTGTTGATGATGAACATGATTAAAGTTGTTTGATGCATTTGTTGCTTGGTTGATGTTACTGCTGCTGTGTGTGATAATAGCTGAGTGAATATCATCTGATTTATGAAAAAAAAAGAGAATCCAAAGTAGTATTAATGATGATGAAGAATCACGATTTTGAGTGAAAAAAAGAGGAAAAAAGATGAAGAGAAGCTCAACATCATCCCGATCATCCTCATTGTCAGAGACAATCTCAACTTTTTTACCATTCCTTGATAACGTCAAGTCATACAAGCTTAACTCAAAGGGAAAACATCATTTATAACATCAATGACAATCTCTTTTTTGTGTTGCTCTTCTTCTTGCCTCTTCATCTTTGAAACTTGAAAAACTGCTCTCAACTGGCGTTAATTAAAGATTGAAAATAGCAAGTAAATCTCTTGTTAATTAAATGTGAATTGCGGAAGAAAGATGAAGATGGCGAAAGATGAGAATGAATTTCTCATCACCTTTTAAATCTGACAATCCTCTTGATTGGTTGTAATTCCTTGTGGATAAAGTGAACGGAAAAAGAGTGTCTATTCAATGACTGAACCCGGTGCAACTTGTCAACAAAAGTATCAAAAATTAAATGGCAATTTTGCAATTGCAATCTCACACCATGAGCATCTTGATTACCAACAATAAACAAGTTGAAATGGAAAATTAGCTCAACAGAAAATGCCTTTGCATTTCCATCTTTACTCATGATCGCCATCTTCATTCATTAACTTTAGCCTCAAGGTTCAATTACAATTGTTTTTAATTACCATTCATTGGCACAACTGTAAATTAATGTAAACCCATTTTTACCTTTGCTGCCTTGACTTAATCAATTCACTTTAAATTATGTGATGATGATGATAAGTTAAACATTTAAAATACTTGAGATGTTAAAGATAAATAAGTTGTCAGTTGGATTAATTAATTGGTTGAGAAATGTTTTGATTATACAAATTAATAATCAATTTGGTTCCCTTTTCCCAATCCATTTTCATTACCTTTTTAAACATCAACATTGATCCAGCAATAAACAACTCATTGAATCTTGTTTCACTTGATTGTTGGCCTTTACCAATATATAATGTTTAAATTGTACTGTCAATTTTAAATTGCTAACCACTCAAATTAAATTGCTTAACCTGTTTGTCCTTGTTAAAATTGAATAGCTATTGAAATGCTATTGTAAAGAGGAAAATTTATTAACATGAAAAAAAGAAGAAGAAGAAGAGCAGAAAAGGAGAAATGATGATGATAATGATGATGATGCAGGACGATATTGTTGACGTATTGAAATGATGATGAGATCTGAGGCAAAAGTTTTCAATTGAATTGCATTTTAAGGTAAAATTCACTTTACACTTGACAATAAGCAACTTCGTCCTCCTCCTCATCATCATTTTCAATCGAAATAAGATAAAAAGTGAAAGAAGAAGAAGAGAAGAAAGAATAAATCAAATTGCTTTGCATATATCAAGACTCATCTCAATACAAATGAGAATAATGATGATGAAGATGAAGATGAGTTTCCTCCCTTTATTTATGATTCTCATGTACTTTGTAACTATGGTTTAAGGTGTAGTTTAAATCTAAACACTCTTAGGACACTTGGCGGAACAAGTTATCAGTGACTTTGATCAACTTTCTTCTTCTCCATCAGAGGATGAGTTTTGATGAACAGATGAATAAAAGGTTCATCATCATCTTTCCTGTTAGCTTCATTATCATCTCCACCAAAATACACTCCACAAGCAAATGCTCTTTCAACATTACCCTGTAGATATGCAAATTTCATGTTCACTCTAACAGTTGATTTAAATGGCTTTTTACAACAATAACAGTAACCATGAAAAAAAGTTAACTTTCTTTTTCTGGTAAACACTTTGACACAAAACTCTGAGTCCATTTAAAGTCCGCCTTGCCATCAAAATGATCATCCTTCATCATAATCATTCTCATTGGCATAATCTCCTGTTTTTTATCATTTCCAGATCAGAATTGGTTTGCCCAAGAAATGACAAAATTGAAACGCATTTCCGTTTAAACATTTTCTACTTTGCAAAGTGAACCCAAAGTTTGTCCCACATTTCATTATTACCATCAAACACTTTGTATTACTTTGTATATTAAGGTTCAACTTTTTTCTTCTTGTTCACCAAAAAATATTGATTACTTTAGGAAACTTTACTATTTTTTCATATTTCATATTTTCATTTGTCGAGTAGGGAATGAAGAAAGAGTCGACAAATCATTCAAAAACCTGTCAACACTTGGTATGTCATATAACATTGGAAAAGCTTATCCACAAGAAATGGAGAAGCAAATCAGTCACACATTTCCATACGAAAATAGTTTTACATGATTGCTTTCAAACATTTTTTCCTCATTTTTTTTCATTTCGCACTTGGCTTACAATGAACAACATTTTCATGTTGAAATTTCACACTTTTCTCGCTCTTTTCCACCTCCCTTCATCCAGACTCTTAACATTGATCAGAATATTTTTTTCTCTTAATATTAACTAAATGTTTGAGTTACTTTCAAGGTTTAGTTAAAAGTTGCTCTTTTGCTTCATCTTCCGTTTTTGATCAACTCTGCCTTTATCATCAACAATCTTTTCTCATCATTTATCCTCTGTTTAATATTACAATTGTACTAATAACCAAACGGACATGAAAGTCGGAAATGAATGCAACTCTTTCAACTGTTCAACAATTTTTACTCTTTAATATGAAACCAAGCTAATGTTATACTCTTACAGGATGATGGGGAGGATGAGGAGGAAGATGGCGATGAAAAATATGATGAAAGATTGGGTCAGTAAAGGAGGAGAGTTGAATGTTGTGATGATGTCGACTGTTGGTTATTATGTCTCAAGTGATGGATGATTGTGTCCATTGGTCTTGCAGTTTAATAAATGAGTTTTTACTCGCCTTAAAATATTGCATTTCCATATCAATTTATAAATGATATTTGGATGTGAGTATTACATGATGACGATGAGAATCATGAGAATCGAAGGGAGGAAAGGAGGAGTTGAAAGAGGAACATTCATGGAACCATTTTCGGTTCGTCTTTTCATTTAACATTTAATGCTATTATTGCCATCGCCTCATCATCATCAAAATTATCATCATTATCATCATCATTATTATTCTTTCTTATTACTATTATCATTATTTGCATCATCACTACTATTAATCTTGTAGAATCATGTTCATCATCAAACTTGCTCAATCTCAATCTTCATCAAATTAACACCCAGAGAGAGAGAGTCTGTTGTTTCATTCAATGCAAATGAACATGAAACATTTTCCATGGTAAACAGAGCGAAAGGAACAATCAAAAAGGGAAACAAAAATTTGCTGCAAAAATACACAAAAAAGAGAATGAAAAATTCCTCTTGAAAATTATCTGTTTCCAGGGTGTAAAGAGTCGGTGAAAGAGAGTGGAATAATCATGTAACTCCAAGTTTTAATTTAATTCACTCATTGCAGGTTATTACACCTCTTTGGGTGTTTTTTTCAATTACAATTACAATTAACTTTTTCTAATTAACATCCGTTTCTCTTCTTTAACCTCTTTACCATGTTTTACCTTTCATCTTGATCATGTTATGTTGATACCATCTTTTACTGTCTCCTGCTACTTCACTATCTTGGAACATCATCTCCATCACCATTATCATCCTTATCATCATCATCTTTTAATGGGAAAAAATGGAATGAAAAATTTCTTCTTCTTCTCCTCTTGCACCAAATGATATAAAAAAAACCTGAAACAATCATGATAATGGACTAATATTGGTAATGATGTACAGTTTTATGCAAGATGTAACCAACTCGACTCCATCTGTTTGTGATGCTTCTGTTGGTTTTAAAGATCAAAAAGTGTTCTGGGGTCAAAGTGTCCATCTCACCTGTACTGGTCGATATCAGGACATTGAACCGTTAATCAGTGAATCCGGACCCATTAAATGGTTTCATTCGAGGAATGAAAGGTCAACACCATTCGAGGTTTTCCCTCGTCGAGATAAATTTATTGTTACCAATGATAATGGACTTGTTATCCTTGGAGTCACCGATCGTGAATCGGGTCGATACGAGTGTAAATTAGGCTCAAACACACTTAGTCGGCATAACATTACCGTTGATGCAAGTAAGTAAACCATTTTGTCCATCTTTACATTTTACTTCAACTAAATTGCTTTATCTTCATGGAGGCAAATGTTTTTCATCTCTTCTTGATTCACAAAATCTTGAAGATGAAAGGACCATGATTATGGAATTGATGAAAATTTTGTTTTCACTTGTTAAAACATATTCATCATCATGATCCTCGATGTACACATAATATATTTATTATCAAGTTTTCCTTCAATGACAACAACCTGAAGATGAAGATAAAGATGATTGCAAAGTGGAAACAGGGCAAAATTGAATTGAATCAAGTGAAAAACTGAATAAGAAATGAGTTTTTTTCATCTTCCACTGAAAGAAGAAAACGTTTTTTAAACAAGGAAAAGAAGATGAATAAGATGAAGAGAAAAAGGTTTTATAAAACTCTAAACAAGATAATGTACAACTTCTCATCTTTATCATCTTTTCTCTTCCACTTCATCTTTAAAAAATGAAGAAGGCAAAAGTATGAACAAAAAAGAGTCAAAAAACGTCTTGAGAAAATGAAGAGTTTTTCATCTTCATGTTTGTCCTTTCCTCTTGCATCTTCATCTTTTCCCTTTCATTGTTTCACTTTGTTGACCAGCAAAAAAGTTTTTTCCCAATTTTGGATATTGCTTTATATCAGATGAACTCCAATGAATCTGTATTTAGTTGAAAAACAAAAGCAGCAAAAGTAAAGAAGAAGAAGAAAAAAAAATGTTGAAAAATAAGGTCTTTCAATCAATTCTAGTGAAGCGATTTGTTCAACATTTTTCCTTGCTATTTCCTTCACTTACCTCTTTTCACTCTTAAAATTCAGTGCAACTTTCATGCCCATTTTCCTCTTGTCCTGACCAATGCTTTATATCTTCATCTTTATCTTACTTGATTTGTTCCAATGGTGTGAAAACCATTCTGATAATGATGATATTGACCTGGATAACAAAAAAAAGTAAACTTTTTTGTCAAAAAATTGAGATTTATGGTTCAGTCTCTACTGGACATTACCTTTAGACCTTTACTTCATCTCATGCTCTTACCATTATCATCCATGATAATCATCGTTTTCAAGATACTTGTGAATAGAAAAAAAACACTGAACAGGGAAAATCAAAGGAAAAAAGAGATTGCAAAATGTCTCAACCAGGCTTTCATTTTTTATCCAAGTGATGATCCTTTTTCTTGTCTTCAACCTTTCTCACATCATCTTTCCTCTCTCATCGTAATCTCTTTCTTTTCAACTATTTTTTATATTCATCTCTATCTTCATCATCTTCATCGTTGTCATCATCATTCCTTGTTTTCCTCTTTTTTCTCTCTTCTCCCTTTCATTGTCTAATAGTGTGTGTTTTTTGCCATCCATAATCAGCATCTTCATCTTTTCATCTTCACCAGTCTTGTTCATCTTTTTGTACACTTTTATTGAATGCCATTTATGACCTGACAAATGATGATTGACTGTAGCTTAGCTCAAGTTAAACAAGAGCGAGGTCAACCTTATTCTTCCCATGTAATATTAACCTTCCCATTCCCTTGTCTTTAACTATGTATAACCAGCTTGTTTCCGATTCTTTCAGAACTCATGTTTCCTCTTCTCACAACCTCATCAAGTTCATCTTTTTTTTCTTCTTCTTCTTCATTTTCATTAAGCTTCTGTTGAAAATTTTCTTCTCATCTTCACTTGACTTGATTATCCAAAGGAAATAACTTTGCGCTTCTCTTGAACAAAATACGTTAAATCTTATATCTCATTATAACTTTTAAGATAAATGTTTGGTTAACATGAAAATATGTATTAAACATAATTATCAGCAACGTTTTGTTTTAAAAACAAAAAAGTTGACAAAAGCAAATGTTGAAGTAGCTCATGTTTGTCATGTAACTTGATTAACTAATTGAATTTTTCTTGTTTCTCTCCTTTTTTTTGTCTCTCCGCTTTAACAGAAACTTGTACAGCCATGAATGAAGCAGAATATCGCAAAATCTATTCTGATTGGTGCCATGAATTTGAAAAGTACAAAAATACCATGAAGTCGTGGCAAGCGAAACAGAAATGTGCTCAAAGAGTTAAAAGTTGTCGAGATAAATGTGATGGACAGGATTTCCAGTAGCGAGATCTTTTTCAATGGATGCAACCAACAATGAACCAACAATGAACATCTAGGCAATAAATTAACAAAATTAAAAGAAAATCGTCAATTTAAATTTGCACCTTAAAATTTCAATGACTTATGTGAATAGGAAACAAAAGAAAAACCTTGTAATAATGTATTTAAAATGAGCTCTGTAAATAATTGTAAATCACTGTTTTTTTTGGAAACTCAATCGATTGACTAAAGTAGTGAAGAAACGCTACTTTTATCATTGTACAGAACATTTTGAAAAAAGAAAAAATCTCTTTTTTTCTATGCAAAACAAATTTAAAATAAAAAGTTGTAAGATAATTGTTGTCGTCATTATTATCCTTTCCTTTGGGTGGTTGGTTTAGCGTAATGGATAAAAATTTTGCCAATAATGATTTACATCTTTTGGTTGCTTTGGAATAGATTGAAACAGTTTGATGAATACTCTCTCCATGGTGAGGATGATGGCCATGATTATTATGATGATAATGGGTGGCTAAAAGGGATGAAAAATTGAGAAAGAATTAGTTTTAGAATTGTTCATTCCATTGAGAATTCAGTGTTTCGTGTTTTCTGTTAATAAGCTTGTCATAATCATTGGTTTGGAGTATTACTTAATGGTAATAAAGACAACAATGATATATTATTAGGATCGATTAAAGATGAATATTACATTGAGAAGGAAATCAAAAGTAAAAAGGTTCATTAAAGATTAGATTGGAATTGATTTGCCGAAGAGAAGCACAAGAAAATATGATAAAAAGCAATCAATTGTTAACTTGAAATTGAAAGGTAACAAAGACAGGGAACAGTAGGGATAAACAAAGGTTAAAGTCATTAGGGAATTATGAGGTTGATAGGAATATTTCATGGTACTTACTGGATTGATCAGCCAGGTTAATCAATAAAATTGACTGTTCACAATCAGGATAATTGATGGTAAAATCATAAGCAACAATTAACATCCAATATTAACACAAGTTCAATGGACTAACAGAAGAAACCTCAAGTTCATATGTTAGAGACACTAAGGCCATCTTTTGTCTTAATGTAAAGTTAAAGCCTAGCGGATGTTTTATCAACTTCTTAGAGTTTCTTTTTTGTTTAAGTTGCGCTTTTTGACTTCAATTGCAGTGTTTTTAATCTTATTTCAACTATTAATTCATTAATCATAAATTCATCTTAAATGGTCAAGACTAATCCATCCACAATTGCTACTCTTTGGTTGTTTGATATCTCAATATCTCAGTATTTATCTAAATTAATAGTGACAATTAAAAATCTTCAACAATCTTCAACTTGTTTCAAAAGGGTTAACCTTTGGTCTTTAAAGAGTAGACATGACTGCTCATTGTTTCATACAATCATCAGAATCTGTCATGAGAAAATTATCTCAAGTTGTTGCTTTACTGGTAACGCAAATAATTAAAGTAATTTAAGAGAAAAAAGCTGTTAAACAAGAAAAAAAGATCAACCCAAACAAAAATTTGGTAAAATTTTCTTTACAAATTGAGGTCAATGTGAATGAAATTAATGTAAGGCAGTAGATGGCAGTAATATCCACTTTCGCTTTTCAAGGAAAAAGTAAACATTTAAACTAACCGGGCCACTGCGAAAGTAATGGTTATCCTACAAAAACCAGTATCTAGGGTAACGGTTTCTCTCTTGGCTTGTCGTGAATTTAGTCTCTCTCTTTACTGTCTGTTTTAGGTCTACAGTTTTACTGTAAATTTGTTGGTTTTTTCATTTTTCTTGTCTTACTTTTTTTTGTTAAAAACACCTTTTTGTTAAAAATTTTTATTTAAAATCCATATTTCACTTTGGTTAAGTATTAATGATGATGAATGATGAAATTATACATAATCAAGGTGTAGAAGCTAGTGATTTTCCTTCAGCGATACCTTCAATAGAAGTGAATGGTAAGTCAGATGACGAAATGATCGAGGAAACTCAAGACGATCGTGAAGGATGTCGATCCTTAATTTGTGACTCTAATGGTATAATTGTTGCTGAGATGGTTTACCGTTGTATGATCTGTGCAAATGTGGTTGAATCTATTGCTGAGGCTCAAAAACATTATCGCATAAAACATATCGGAGAAGAAATTGCTGAACCTTCATCATTATCATCAGCCTCTGCATCCACTACAACAACAACACTATCACCACCCAATAAGGAAGGTTCAAAGGTATCTGCTCCTTTAGCCTTAACGATGAACGGTGATGGTAATCAATCGGACGAAGCTGAGGATTATTCTTTTACATCGCAAGAATTGCCTTTTCTATTTAACCATAATAACATTAACAATTACGACTATACCTCTGGTTTTATTGGAAATTTTGATGATCTTGATCCAACCCAATTTTTGTCTCAAACCTTTCAAACTGAACCTACCTCCAAAAAATCAAAGACTGAATGTAAGTGAATTTTTTACTTTCTCTTTCTTTCGTCCAAATTATCCTTTACTTTCTTTCTTTATTAGGCCTGCGAGCTCAATTTTTCCTGTTCGCTTTAAACTCCTTGACAATTCCTATCTATCAGTATACTTACCGTTATTTTTTGCTTTCTCCTCCCCTTAGCTAATGGAACTAGCTCATCCAGAGGAGGTTATGTTACATGTGCCGTCTGTAATATTACCAAATTTTACGCCAGCGTCCAACGAAGATATGGACAGTTTACCTGTATGGGCTGTGCCAAATTTTTTGGTCGTTTCCTCATGAAGCCTCGTCGCTATTATTGTCCTAACTTGGGTAATTTCATTTATCTTTTTCGCTCTTTCGCTCTATCTTTCTCTCTTTTCCTATCTTTTTATCCTTTCATTTAGTATCCTTTATAGTGGTTGCTATATTTTAGCTCATTTCATCATTATGTCATATAATTATTATTGTAACATAATTACTGGAAATCAATTGTCAAAATACCGTTCTTTAATCTTTAAAAAATCAGAATTTTAAATCACTCATTTATTTACAATGGTTTCTTAATCTTACATAACCATATGTTTTGATTTAATCCATCTAGATTTCAAGGAGCAATGAAAAAATTAACAATGAATTAAACCATTTCGATTATCGTTTACTAATCTTTACATTTTTTTATCATTCTTCCTATAATTAGGTACTTGTCCATTGGCCCAATCTCCTAGGTGCAAAGCATGCCTTTTACAAGCTTGCATCCGAACATATGTTATTGACGATAAAAGAATGAAAATAGTTAACGCTAATAAGCCATTGAAACGCATGGGTCCTGGAGGAGGGTCTTTACCTTCAGATTCTCAGGAATCTCCACCACCAGCTACAGCTCTTAGAACATCTAAAGAAGCCAATAAGAAAGAATCTTCATTATTGGCCAGTCCAAATCTAAATGAGGTCTCTGATGGCAAGAGTAAGTCATCACCTCTTAGTAAAGACGATAAATTGAATTCACCGACTGTGATGAAGGGGAATAACAGTGTAATCAACAATACCAATGGCAATCGCAATTCACCTAAAGGTTCAGTTGACTCAACTGCGTCTGTATCATCGACGCCGACCCCAAAGAAATCAAATGCTTCTAATGGGACCAATCCAGGACGTAAAGTAGCTGGATGCCGAGCATGTAGTGGCTGCTTGGCTGAGGATTGTGGAAAATGTCATTATTGTCTAGATAAACCTAAATTTGGTGGAGGAAACACACTGAAGAAGAAGTGTATTGCTAAAAGATGCCTCATGCAGGGTTACAAAATTAAACCAAGTGATAACTTGAAGAAAATTAAGATATCTCGGAAATGATGAGTTGATTTAGTTAAACCTGAAACTCAAAATTTTCTGTTTATTCTTATTTTCTTCAAGTATTCATGAAAGTCAATTATTAGCTAACAACAACCAAAAAGCAACATCCAAAAATGGTTAATTGTTGATCTAATAGGAATACTTCGCAAGATAGAACCTAACTAATTTATAAATATCCACATGCATAAAATTATATGTATATATATATTTACATGGTTCATGAATTCTATCCTTTATCAATTTATAGTCGAAAAGTCAAGTCAAGTCAAGTAAAGTCAAGTCATGGGTATGAAAGGGAAACGATTACACATTAACGTCATAAAGCAACAACAAGTTCAACTACGAAATCTAGATCTAAATTAATGTAAAGCCAAACCAAAAGATGAGTGGTTAATTTGTAATATAGTGCACTCTCCGCTGTCATACCCTTTCAATATACAATTATACCATAATGTGTACAAAAGTGTATAACATGTGGTCCTCTTATTGCTCTGCATGGTAATCTTGTCAAATTGTCTCGAGAAAAGTCAATGAAAAGGTGTTTTTTGCAATCTTTCCTTTTCTCTTAAATTAATTTTTTCTCGAAACAAACGCAATTAACACATGATAAACAAATTAAAAAAAAAACAAAATCGCTTTGCTTCAAGCATTGCTGCCTATTGTACATACAACTTTACATATAACCAAACCAATATACATATAAATATATTAACTAAATTAGTTATTACTGTTTACAACCAAACAAAAAAAAGAGAATGACTAAAGAAGAACCTAAATTTATTGTTTTGTTACCAATGAATATAAATTAACCTTTAAAAAATCAAACAAGTCGATAACATCAACTTTACTTGTAATACCTTTGTACACCTTGAACAACCTACATTTAACTGTAATCCCAATTTATCCTCGCCATTTCTCTTTAATTTTATCCCCTTTTGTCTCTTCCAACCTGTCTAAATGCACATCAATTCATCATGAACATCAACATATTCATCGACATCACCAGCAATTTCATCAACACAACAACATAACAACATGGCCCAACTCAGTGACAACAACTTTAAACAGTGTTTGTGACCAACATTGTGTTTAACAAGGAAAGGAAGCTGATTTTCAATTAATTCATCTAATTGATTTTCTCTTCACTTTCGTCTCTTCTGGCCATCTAAATGCTTACCACCATTTTCATGGTAGCGTTAATGATCCACTTCTGTAACTGATTTTTTCCTTCTCACTCTACTTCTCTCTCTCTCCTCTTCCTTAGATTATCTTCTTTTTTCCTTTCTTTCTTTCTCTCTTGAATTTCTGACTTTCTATCCAATCTACCTTTCTGTCGCCTCATTGGATGTTTTGCCTCTTTATTTGTACAACTATTGGAACCTACAAACAATCAGTCGATCTTTCGCATGATCTAAGTCAAGTTCAAATGTTTTGAATCCGATTCAAACCCTTGCTTGTCTCAATCAAACTTTTGTTTCCTCTTTTTTATCTTTTCTGTTTCTATTCTAATATTTGAGTACCAAATCATAACTAGTGAAAAAATACCATCTATACCAATCTTAAAGTAAATTTAATTGTTTTTGTTCAAATTGTTTCTCTTCTAATGTCGATATTATAACGATATCTTACTTTGTTTTTTATAAGTCATGTAAATCAAATTGTAGAGAAAAACATTAACAAATTATAAATGCCAATGGAAAATGAATAAAAGGTAAAACAACAATTTAAACAGAAATATTCGTGTCAAAATTATTCATTCATTTCTCAAATTCTGATATTAAAGTCTCTAAATTCGAGTCAAATTCAACGATCCTTTCACAGTCTTTGTCACAATCGGAATATGGCTCTTTAATTAATTTGTGTGAGTTAATGTGTCAAAAGATCAACTATTAATAAAGTTCATGAAATGATTTCGAATCAGCAGCCAAAGATCGAGTTTTCAAGTTTGCTGAAACAATTCAACAGATGGCGCTCTTTGACTGCTCAAAATCTTTGTTTTCTAGCGTTTCATGCTGCTGTTTTGATTTTTATTTTGGTTTGAATTTTTGAATCTTGTTTCGATTTGTCTGTAACCATGATGAATGACGAAATTGTACTGAACGAAGGCGAAGCCAGTGAATTTCCTGAGATACACCAAGAAGATGATGATGGTGATGGTAAGTTATTTGCTTTATTAATAAACATTTTATCTCAACTTGTCTAGTGAACCCTAATTTTGTTTATTTTCTCGATTTCAGAGAATGTTGTCAAGCTAAAAGAAAAGGTTAAAAGGAAGAAGGGAAGAGGATTCGGTCCAGGTATGTTTTCAGATAGTGTTAGAAAGATGAATTTTTAAATCTTGAACTTGTATTGTTTCTTTAGATGGAACTGCCCGAGAAGATATTAGAGAGTATGAAGCTATGGAATCCGGAGATAATAATGAACAAGGACCACAAAGATGTAAGTAATACTCTTCGTTTAATTTTATTTGCTCGTCTATCTCGTATTGTGGATATCTAATCTGATTGATTTATTTTGATTCCATCAGCTGTCGAAGGATGGATTCTTTTTGTAACTGGAGTTCATGAAGAAGCTCAAGAAGAAGATGTTCACGATAAATTTCGAGATTATGGAGAAATAAAAAATTTACACTTGAATCTGGACAGACGAACTGGGTTTCTTAAAGGATATGCTTTAGTTGAATATGAATCATTTAAATCTGCTAGCAGTGCGCTCGAAAATTTGAATGGATCTACTATACTTGGTCAAACAATCGCAGTTGACTGGGCTTTCATCAAAGGACCTCTTAAGAATAAGCACCGTCGATCTCGACATTAAATTTAAACACAACTGCCATCCATTTGTCATCAGAGAGCATCTTCTAACAATGATTGTTCCATTCCTATCAAGCTATGAGATTCATCATAAGCTCACAAAAATTTTGTTAATAAATAATGAATCTTTGAGTAAATTTGAAACTGAAATCGTTTAATGAAAAAACTTTAGGTTTTATATCTCAAGATACATTGTAGTATTAATTGTGAAAACAATTTTTTCGATGAATGATTTCTTCGATAAATCATCACTGATTGCATCTTTGATTGATCTAACGATACCAAATCAATTTTCCATCAAGGCGCTTTCTTACAGACGTTAATAATTTTCTCTATTGCAATTTCTCATTCATTTTTTATCGCTGACATTATCATTTCTCTTCTCATTTCTTCCCGGTGAAGTGTTTTCTCAAAGGCTGCCAACATTTGAAGTAGTTATGATCCAACTCTGGTACAGTTTGAGCCCACTGAGTAACCACAAGACTCAATGAAGATTCAAACATGAAAGCCTGTGAAAAGAGAAGATGTCATTTTAATATATTCATTAATCAAAAGCTCTTTCAAGATTACCATTGTACCATCAGCAACTCTGACTGGCTTCAAATCACTATTCGACGCCTTTTCAAAACAATCATGATCAGGACCGTGTGGAGTCATCATACTATGAAGACTTGCTCCACCAGGACGGAATCCATCTTCCTTCGCTTCATAACTACCCTTTATTAATCCCATAAATTCACTCATACAATTTCTATGGTAATACGGTGGACGGAAAGTGTTATCAGCAACTCCCCATCGAGGCGGAAAAATGACAAAATCAGCTATAGCAACACCAGGCTTTGTTGATGGGCATGTTAGAACAGTGAAAATTGATGGATCCTGTATTAAAGCATTAATATTGGTAAATAAGTCACGTCAAATTCATCTTAATATCCTCATCTCTTACCGGATGATCAAATGAGACCGTATTGATGACTGTGAATAATGTTAGATCGTATTTAGATGGATGATAATTTCCTCTCCAAGCTACAACATCAAAAGGTGAATGGTCTTGAGTTGCTTCAAAAATAGCTCCTTGATATTTATTGATAATCTTGTAATCAGGTATGTCAATATCTTGATAAAAGGCGGTTGGAATTTGAAAATCACGAGCATTTGCTAGACCATTGGCACCAATGGGACCCAAAGGAGGAAGCGTAAAGTGACCATCGAAAACTTCTAAGATGTAACCTCGAGCTGGTCCAGTTACAGCAACCGAAAACTTGATTCCCATTGGAATCAAACAGATTTCTAATGGAGCAACAACCAATTTACCAAATTCAGTGGTAATGTAGAGTGTTTCTTTTTCAGGAACTATCAACAGATCACCATCTGAGTTATAAAAGCACTTATTTTCCATTGATTTGTCACATCCATAAATATAAATGGCTAAACCCGATCGAGCTACAGGGTCACCAGCTCCAGAAATTGTATGAATGCCATCAACAAAATCAATCCCTTTGGAATCAGGGACATTAAAAGGTGCCCATCTGAGCTGATTTGGATTGGGTGGACACGATGACCAATCATTGCTAATATGAGTTGTTTGGATTCGACGGAAAGGACGATGAGTGACTGAGGGACGGATCCTGTAGAACCAACTAGTAACGATAATAAATCCAATTAGGCATCATTGACACACTAACTATTGTCCTTAGAGAATCTTACCTTCTTCGATTGAATTCACGACTCACGGTAAATGCTGTGCCAGAGATTTGCTCAGCATACAAGCCATATTTACATTTTTGTGGATTATTCTGTTAAAATAAACAACAGTTTATCAGTTAATTATTAACCAAACAAAACATTACAATAGTGATCAGCGTTAAGTTAACATTTTTCTCTAACATTAGATAAAAGTACCAATAAGATCGAACTTTATTTGGTTCATTTTTCTATTACATTGTTTTTTCTTATCTCTACTAACTAAATATGCGACACATAAAAATTAACTTAACTCTGACCACAACTGTATTGGAAACAAAATTACCTGACCGTATGGCAAAGCTTCTGGACATCTTGGATCTTCCGATGACAGTTCATTGGCCAAGCCATGTAAATACTAACAAGAAAATCACTCATCAATTGCTAATGAAAATAAGTTGATCATTTTCTTACCTTTAAATTTTCGAATTCACTTTTAACCATGATTAAGTTTTACTTTTTCAATGGTGACTCCTGGAAAATGCACGAAACAAGTAAATATGCAGTTAATTGATGGTTTTTGTTTAATTTACTGAATGACTTTTCGTTATTTTACCACTTCTCTCGCTCTCTCTTAAATTGTTGCTTAGTAAGAAATGTTATCATATCGGATGTTTTCTAGACCAATTCAGGGAAACTTATACTTTAGATAAGTAATCAATTAACCTATCAAATATGTTTATTATTTTAAGAGTCAATCGATTAAATTACTTATCGAAATGATATTTTTACATTACCACAATTAGAATGCTATGAAATTGCAGAACATTCAATCTCTAATCTCATAACTATAAAATTCTTATCATGTTATTGTTTACGTGATTATTATCAGTTGTAGGTTTTTTTAACTTGTTATGTTATACAATCATGAAAGCAAATAGATAAAAGCTGAGTTTATTCTGTCTTTAATTATATATCAAATCTTTAGATACATATGAACATGCATCTCTTATTTATAATTAGCATTGATTATGGACGCAAATCTAATGCTCGGACGATTACATGTTCTTTTGCCGATTCATTTGCATTAATTAAACTGTCAGGGTTTCTTGGGACAGTAATTTAGTCAGATAGTTCATTTAAAAGTATTTGAAAAGTATACATTTATAACTAACGTTAATTGTTACATTATATTTTTTAGGTTTTGTTTTATATGCCTGTGTATTTGTGAATATATATGGTACACATTTACATAAGAAATTAAAGTAAAAAGAGCAAAGACAATTGGCCCCTTAATACAGAAAATTAATTAAAAAAAGCCGAGCAGAAATAAAAGTTTGGTGTTTTTGTTTAACTTGACATTGAGATAAAACAATAATTATATTTTCTTGAACGTTAACAGCTGGAGAAACAAAATTGGAGAAATTAAACTGCGGAAATATATTGATAATTATTTATATATTTTATATTTGTAAGCCAAAAAATCAGCGATTCACCGTTCATTTGATAGCCTTGTCTTTTTTTTGATTCTTTCCTTTTTGATCATGATTGGTATTCAACCTTTAACTAGAGTCCCAGTCGTATAACATGTCATCATCATCATCATCCTTTACTTTAGAATTAGGTTTATCAGTCAATTTGGTGTCCAGCTTTTTCATTGCTTCAATCACTATGTCGTCCATCAACTCAGTTTTTACCCATTCTTCCGATCCGTCAGACTGTTTTGCTGAATCAGATGAGGGTGACCCTCCACCACTAGTAATTTTACCTGTGTCAAGTCCTCCAACAGTTATGTTACTTTCAATCAACCCTTCAGTCGAGCTTGTCATTGATGTTGAGCCAATCATTGAATTATTGACTGTATTGGGTGTAGAGAGTGTTTTTTCTTCCGTTTCGGCGACTGAACTTGACTTCTTGTCCAAATTGGAACTACTATTACTTCTGCTGGGTACAGATCCGGGAGGTTTTATAGTCTCTTTATTGTTAGTCATTGATTCTTTTTCAGCTTCTTCTTGGGCTTTTTCTTGCCTTTCTATTTCTTCAGCTTTTGCTGCTAACCGCTGGAATTCAACTTGTTTCAATTGGTGAACTTTGTAGAAATAACGATGCCAAAATTCATCTGGGGTGATTGAATGAGGAACCAATCTATCATAGAAGCTTTTAACTGCTCCGTCTTCCATTGAAAGTAATTGTTGAACTCTGTAATCATGGTCAATAAGGTTAAAGGATGCTAGCCAATTTTCATAATCTTCTGGAGGACCTTCAGGTTCATGGCAATAGGTTTGAGGATCTGATTGAATTGTTTTCATCAACAGGTCCCATCGTCCTCTTTCAATGGAGACAATCCTGTTTCCTTTGACAAAGCAAATATCATCATCATCCTCATACTCATGAGGAATCATAACATCAACAATACTTGACAATAAATGCTTTGCTTTGTTACTCAGATAATGAATAATATCTTGCTCCTTTTGATTTTTGTTATGTGTCGGTGATGGTATTAATTCTTTGCTTTCACTCGTTGTTTCTGGTTCAGCTTCAGCATCCTCAGTTTCTTCCACGTCTGTTGTCTCATCCTTGAGATTATTTAATGATGAAATGGTATCACCAATATATGAAGTTGTCGTGGTGATAGCTGCACTTGTATTTTGTTGAACAGTATCTTTAAATTCAGTTAAATCTCTCTTCATAAATTCCAATGTTTTGGAAGACTGAAAGAAAATAAAGAAGAAGATTTAGTTATGAAAAAGGTTAAAACATTGGTTATCCAAAATCATATGATTTGTTTGGAAATGACAATAGGAAAGGAAAGGGAACAAAACAATACAAATCAATCAAATCACCACTTCAAAAGATCTATCTTCGTACTGTTTTGTCAATCCAATAAAGCACACGAAATTGAGATAACTCAACTACTTGCTTGCTTTTAGTTTCACAAATAATACCAAAAATGAGAAGAATTTTTTGACATGTCATTGTTTGGTTCAATCAGTAAGCAAATATGTAATCATCTGTTTATTAGCCGAGCATTCATCATATCTATAGCTAATTGAATGCTTATTTAGGGAAGTCTAACAAGTTGTAAGCTTTTGAAATACCAAAAAAAAATTTCATAAGGTATATATAACATCAGGTACGTAACAAACAATACAATAATCATGTGATTTGTGGTGAAAATCTAATAAGATAATAACGGCGATAAAAGGTCAATATAACAATAATAATCGTGCCTATAAATGTGAAACAATCCACATATAATGCAATTAAACATTGGTAGCTCAAAATTACCTTTTGTTTGGCAACATTTACAAAATTTGAAAACCAGGATCCAGTAAATGAAGATGATGGCTTATCAAAGTCTTCAGAAGTTGCCTCTGTTTCCAGCTTTTGAGTATTTTCATCTTTAACCCTGTTTTTTGGAAAGAAGAAAAATTGTGAGTTGTAACATTCCAATTAAATGCATTAGGAGACAGAAATGGAGAAAAAAATTTTGATAGAAATTTGAGGGTCAGAGAAAGAGAGAGAGTCAACTTAAACTATAGCAACTTTTATGGATAACAAAATGAGGAAAAATACCAAAATGTAAACATGAAATAAAAATAAAAGAGAAAAGTAAAAAATTAATATTTACTGGGTATTTAATGATGATTCTGCCATTGGTTTTATTGCAAGATTAACAAGTTTGACATAATGTGAACAAAAAATGAAACTTTGATTAATTTAATAATATTGAAATAAACAATCAATTATTGTAGATTTATAAAGAAAACAATAAAAAACTTCAAACAATAGCTAAAAAAGACTGTTGTGAGCAAAATAGCAAAAGTATAATCAGCTGTTGAATGGTAATTGAGATGGCGCTTCGGATGCTTTTTGCATCAGAGATTTTTGAGTTTTTTAATTAATTAATTAACCAGTTTAAACTTTAATTAAGTGTTTTTCATATTGATTTTATCAAAATCTACACCGTCGATAACCCCTGAATATCAAAAAACATCATCTTAACATCACCAAAATGTCAGAAAACAGTGATACAAATTGCTCAGGTAAAACCAGCATGGCTGCTGATATCAGCCTAAAGGTAACCAACGTGGTAAAGCTTGTGGAGTCAATGGTGAACACAAGAAACAAAAATACATGTGATAAGATACTTAGTGAACTGAACAACATTAATACAATTATTGGATCGTTAAACTTTAGTGATGGTGTAACAATTGTACCTGCTGAAGGTAATAATTCGGAGATACTAAACAAATTGGAACAAATCTCCAAGAAATTGGACAAACCCAGAAACAACAACGAGTCGACCAAGAACACCAGACCGAAGACAAAAGCGATCATTGTCAAGCCAAAAAGTCCTGAAACCAACCCAATCGAGCTTGGTGCTGAGATTAAACAAGTAATCAAAAATTGTGAGAGCATCAACTGTGAAAACATAATAGTAAATGCTCAAGCTACAAGGATAATTGTTCGGGATGACAACACAATTGGAAAAATCAAAGAAGCTTTAAAGAATAACGAAATTGGACAGAAAATCAACGTTGAACAATTGAAACAACTTCAACCTCAAATATCCTGTGTAATTACAACTGATCAAATTGAGGACATCAATGTAATCAAGCGAAGGAATCAGATACCGGAAGATCAGGCGTTTGAAATTGTTGTCAACAAAGAGATTCCGACCAAGTCCAAGTTCAAGAGAAATTATGTTGTATTTAGGATGTCAAGAGTTGCCAGAGAAATAATTGAAAAGCGTGGAAAAATCTATATTGGTTGTGAAGCAACATCTTTTCGAGACAATTTCAACGTTAGAGTGTGCTCCAAATGCCATCGAATTGGTCATACTGAGAAGTTTTGCATGAATGAATCGGTCTGTGGAGGATGTAATGTAAATCATCATACAAGGAACTGTCAACAAACCAAAAAACAAATTTCTGAATGTCTTCTATGTAAACATTTTGGAGCAGTAGATGTAAAGCACAAGCCTAAATCAAAAGATTGTTACTCCTACAACGCAGCAATTGAACGAATCGTCCAGATAACAGACTTCGACTATCAAAATGAAGTTAGTTGCTAGAAACTGTCAAAAAATGAAAAACAAGACCACTGAACTTGCCTTAATGGCCAAGCCAGATCAAATCATCTTCATTCAAGAAGCAAACCTTCAAACAATATCATCACTTGACAACAGATTCTTCTCGATAATAACTCATGACTCTACTGTAATCATAGCTCCAAAATGTGCTGTCAAAAAATTTTACAAGCTTGGAGTTTCTACAATTGCCTGTTTGTTCAAACTGGATGGAAGAAATGTCATTCTAATTAACACTTACATCTCACCGAATACAACAGACAGAAACTACGAAATCCTCATTCATGAGATAATTAATCTAACCAAAAGATATAGTGACATTCCTCTTCTTATCCAAGGAGACTTCAACATCCAATGTCAACTATGGACGCCGATTACAGTAGTTCAAACTAACAAGACCTTGTTAGTTCAAGAACTCATTGACCAATGCAACCTTCTTCTACCTTATGAACCTTCCATTGAAAAATACACTTATAGTCACTACAATGGAAGCAAAAGCTACATAGATGCCTTAATGGTTTCTAAAAAATTCTTGACTAAAGTCCAAATCCTAACTGCTGAAGCTGATCACTCAACATTTCTGGCTGATCTTCAACATAACAACACCTTAAACAATCAACCCTTAATTAGGCCCAAATCTTCGTCAAAACAAATACTGGATAAAAAGAAATACCTTAAACTCATAACTGACTACATCAAACCAATTGAGGACAATCTTTTTCCAAATCAACAGTCAATTGATACTTTTACCTTTGACTTCTTCAAGTTTATGATAGAAGCTCAACAGAGCTGTCAAAAAACAATACACATTAAACCTTTAAAGTATCATCTTTATCAACCTCGCCTCAGAAGACAACTCAAACTTCTCATATCAAAATTTAAGAGAAATAGGACTCAACAGAACAGCAATGAAATATCATCTGTAAAACTTAAACTACACAAAGTAATTAAAGAAGAGCTCATCAAAAAATTTCAAGTCAAAGATTCCAAGCTGCTCTGGTCCAGAATTAAAAGTACTCTCCAATTGGAACTAGCCTCTGAGGAGACGGATGAATTCTTAGCAAACAGTCAGATGGACAAAAATCTCTTCTCACTCAACATGGATAACATCATTTTCCCTAAGTATCAAGCAACTGAGAGTCCAATTGCGACAAATGACCAAATAGAGTCGACCTTTTCACTTATAATCACAAACCTAAAGAGTCTAAACAACTCTTCTCCTGGACCTGACTCTCTCTCAAAACAAGATACTCGATCTCTTTTCGAAACCTTTCCTAATTTCTTCACTAACCTTATACTAAATTGCCTAAACCTGAACTTTTTCCCGACTGCTTGGAAGATCACCAAAGCAGTGATAATCCCAAAAAGTGACGGCATCAGAACCAGACTGATTCAGATGCAGTCCTTTATGGCTAAAGTTCTTGAAAAGATAGTCTGCAATAAGATCTTAGACTCCATTCCCTCAGACTGTTTTATTAACCAACATGCTTATCTTCCTAATAGAAGTATAATTACAGCGCTAGATAGCCTTTTTCTTAACTTAACCACAGTCAAGAGTTCAGAGGTTTACATCATTCAGACAGACATTCAAAAGGCGTTTGATGAAATTCATCATGAGTGCATTTTGATGAACTGTTTGAGGTACAAACTGGACTCCTCTACCCTCAAAATCATCATTAGTTTCCTCTCAAATAGACATAGTATGATCCTAGAAAAAACTCCGAAATTTAGGAAGCAAGTTAAAGGAGTTCCTCAAGGCTCCATTTTAGGTCCAATACTTTTCATTATTGGCATAAATGAGGCTGTGAAGGAACTTGCAAACATCCAAATTCCTCCCTTCAAAACTAATTACAACACTAGAGACCAAACCATTCATTTCACTTATCCAATCAAGACGATAGCCTATGCGGACGATCTCTTGATTGGATTCTATGCTAGACACATAAATAAGGAAAGACTAAGATTCATTATAAATAACATTTTCATACTAATTAACAAATCATTAACCTCCACTCGACTATCAATAGCAATTGAGAAAACTAAACTAATAACAAATAACCATGTTGCGATTAGCGAGTGGTCTGAACCTTACCCAGTCTCCAACACATCGGAGGTGCTGGGATTTCCAATTGATCTCAAAAACAAAAAGAAACTTTTTCTTGATCCTGAAGCTTTTCTGACCAAAACGAAAGACAAGCAAGTTAAACTGGCCATTCCAACCAGTCTGGCCAAATCACTACCTGAAAACATTGTCAAACTAATCAGTTCTGCCTATTATGAGTCCTACGCCATGACGTATTCCCCTCTCCTAATTCCCACCATATTCCAATACTCCTTTTCAAAAAAATTAACTAAGATCACACTCAGTCTGATCAATCAATATATCAACCTTAAACCCTTTGACCGAACTCTGCCTTCCTACATAGCAACAAACAACTCTCCGACGTACGTCAAAATTATCGCAGCTGGACTAAAGTATATTGCTGGCAATCTTAACAATCAAAGCGCAATACTCAAATGGATAGAAGAAAATAAACCAGAATTACTGCCTAGCCCTGATATCTCTGGAGAGCGTTCTGCCTGGTACCAAAAACGGACTAAGGAAATTGTCACCTCCTTCCTTAAAGACCCTCATTACTCATACACAGACAATAATTGTTCACTGATTCTTCAAAACATTAATAAGACTGGATTCAACAAACTGGATGTCTGTGTTAGAGTTTTGCTTGGAGCCTACAATTTCCTCACTGAAGGAAGAAAATGTTTCTGCTTTTTTCCAAATCCAGATAACATTCACTTTATATTTCATTGTCCAATATTGGACTATCACAGAAAAAGACTTTTGTTTCAATCCAAAATAAGAAAAATTCCACTCAACAAGCTACTGTTTACACAACCCCAAATTAGCTCAACCTTTCTCAGAGAAATATTTGAAAGCATCAACAACATTCATCAACACCAAAACCCATCGTAAATATCAGAACTCTTAATTCTCCACTCTACTCCCCTCTTTTCTTTTTTATTCCCTCTCTTTAATAATCATGTAACCTCCAAAAATCCTCTTCAGAAACATTGTAAGCATTTTTAGGTGTAGCGCTTTTAAGCTCGCCCGACACAAAAACCCCTAAACCAATAAAGATTTAAATTTATTATTTTGATGAAAGTTTCAATTAACGCTTTAACCAGTTAATTCATTGCTTGTTGGCTGTTTAATAAATATAAATGTTACCCAGATTAGCTAATATAAGATATATAGCTAATATAAATATGCTCTGAAATTAGAGAAGTTGACATTTCTATAAAGACAATGAAAACAGCAACCGAATCAACTTTTATAATAGGAAAATGGAGATTCTTGAAGCATATTAAAACAAACTGGTTTAAACTTTGAAATTAAATACGAATTAAAGGTCGGTAAACGAAAGGTTGTAATGCTGACTAATGGGTTGTGTTACTTGAATAACAGAATTTGTTGTTCCTTTGAGTGATTGAGATATTAAACCAAGACGCTGAAAACCTGTTGTCCTGCTCTTGTTATAGCATTTATCTTCGTGATTTCAAGCGTCATGTTGATAATTTTCTGATAAGCAATGAATAGAAGATATTATGCTATGTTTATAGCCACAAGAACAGAACACCATCAAGTTAAGAGGCACCGAAAGCACATTCTCAAGTCATTTCTACATTGCCGTTAAATACAGAAGATACATATCACGTAAATTTCGAGGCCTTTAAATTTTTAAAGCTTATCTGATTAACAGACGTTCGGAATTGAGAGATTTGTCAAGACCAATGTTCATTCAATTCGAGCACTTAATTTCTATCTGTAATTAAGTTGAATCTCTTCTAAACAATGCCTTCAATGGAAGATTTGTTTCAACAAAATTACTAACATGGTTGGAAAGATATTCAGTTAAGAGAAGAAAGCTTTTTTGAATCATCATTATTGATTGATTTCATGAAATTGGTCGATGTTTTGCAAACATTAATCTATTTAAACTTATAAGTAATCAATTAAATTGAATTTAAATTTTATCCCGCCTTAAAGGGACCATTCAGAAAATTATGTACATTGTCTGTGGGGTGAATGCAACAAACGAAGATTCTCTGGTTTTAATCGTTTGGCTCAATCTCAAAACCAGTAAATGTCTTTACTTTCCCTCAATTACTAAGCTGTTACGATTTTTTCGTATCACAATTTAAAAAATAGTATTTGAATTAGTAGCTGTTCTAGTGCCATTAAACAACATGTACTTTGAAAGGATGACATTTTGATTAGTGATTTAAAATACGTTAACAAGGCGTGTAAAAGTCTAGATTTCAAGCAATTGGACAAAAGTAAACTCTTCACAGAGAAACTCTTCTTAGCTTTTCGGTTCATCTTTTAATCAAGGTTATCAAGACTTGTACTCACAAGTATTTATCCATAATTAATTCAAATAACATTGGTTCATTAATCAGTCGTAAAAGATGAGATATCTCTCTTACGCCCTCTTCTTCATCTCCCCTTATTTATCATCTCACATCACAACTTGTATTTAAAATCATTCTTAAAGAGTGAATCAGTTCCCAGTGTCATTCTTATATTCAATCATGTAAGTTTTCTCGCCCTTCACATTTATTTTTCAAACTTGTGAATCTTTATAAATTTATTTTCATTTCAAATTTTCAATAATGCTCTTTCAGATAAAACAAGTGATCACGTAATACTGAAACAATATGGTTCATCAAGTAGTAACTGTGGATACTAATCCTTACGAAGGTCAAAAGCCTGGAACAAGTGGACTTCGTAAGCCAACCAAAATATTTCTGGAGAAACCAAATTACACAGCCAATTTTGTTCAATGTATTCTTGACTGTGTTGACGATAAAAGTTGTTTGGTGATCGGTGGCGATGGTAGATATTATTTAACTCAGGCTATCGATTTGATCATCAAAATATGTGCTGGAAATGGTGTCAAACGTTTAATCATTGGACAAAATGGCATTCTTTCTACCCCGGCAGTTTCCTGCATCATAAGGAAAAGATCAGCCTCTGGAGGAATCATTTTAACGGCCAGTCACAATCCTGGTGGACCAGATGGAGATTTTGGAATCAAATATAACACTTCCAATGGCGGGCCTGCACCAGAAGGTTAGTATACATCTATAGTGGAATCTGAGTAATGGTGTATTCTACTCTCAAATTATTTAATTATCTACGATTGGAAACTCTTACACTTATCAAACCTTTGAGTTTGCATGAGCGTTTGTTGTTACCCTCCAAGTGAAATCTTGAGTTATAATTATGGCGTCAAGTATACTCTTCTCTTTTTCTCAGTCTAAATTGAAACCTACTTCATTCACTAGAAAATGTATCAATGACAAGAGTCTTGAGAGTAATAGTAAGAATAACATTATGATATAATATTACATTAATCAATACAAATCTGTGATAATTAAAACTCTTTGCTTTCCATCTTTTCAGGAATCACGGACAAAATCTTTAAATTGACTAAAGAGATCAAACAGTTCAAAACTGTACCAGATTTATCCATCAGCATTGATAAAGTCGGAACCCAAGAAGTTGTAATTGGCACAGATAAAATGATTGTTGAAATTATTGATTCAGTAGATGATTATTTGGAATTATTGAAGAGCATATTCGATTTTCCTAAAATTAAATCACTTCTTGCCAAACCTGACTTCAAAATTCGAGTTGACTCTCTTAATGGAGTAATGGGTCCTTATGCAACTCGTATATTTGTAAACGAGTTAGGCTGTTCACCTGATTCAGTTGTTAATTGCATACCTTTGCCTGATTTCGGAGGTGAGTAGTCCCACATACATGCTGCTATAAGATCTTTATACAAACTTGGGTTTTTTATTCTGTAATCAGGTAAACATCCAGATCCGAATCTGACTTATGCTGCTGAGTTGGTTGAAGCCATGAAATCAGGGGATTATTCATTAGGTGCTGCATTTGATGGAGATGGTGATCGTAACATGATTCTTGGTACAAAAGGATTCTTTGTTTGTCCATCAGATTCACTGGCGGTTATTGCGGCAAACTTGAAAGATATTCCTTACTTTGCAAAATCAGGAGTTAAAGGATTCGCTCGAAGTATGCCCACTGCTGGTGCAGTTGATGTTGTGGTTGCCAAATGGGAAGATGGTGATATTAAATGTCATGAAACACCAACTGGATGGAAGTTTTTTGGTAATTTAATGGATGCTGGTTTATGTTCACTTTGTGGTGAGGAAAGTTTTGGAACTGGATCAGATCATATTCGAGAAAAAGATGGTTGTTGGGCTGTTCTCGCTTGGTTATCTATTCTTGCTTCTCGAAACCAATCGGTTGAGGATATTGTAACCTCTCATTGGAAAAAATATGGACGCAACTTTTTCACTCGTTATGATTATGAAAATTGTGATTCTGCCGGCTGTGCTAATATGATGAAGCAATTAGAAGGTTTTGTTGAAAATGGTTCCTTGATTGGAAAACAATTTACCCATAAAATAACCCAGAATGATAATTTTGAGTATAAAGATCCAGTTGACGGAAGCATTACATCAAAACAAGGAATAAGAATTATTTTCAGTGATGGTTCGCGTATTATTGTCCGTCTTTCGGGTACAGGAAGTCAAGGAGCCACAGTTCGGATTTATGTCGATGGTTATACCAATCAAGAATCACTTCTAACTCAAGAAGCTGCCATAGTATTGAAACCGCTAATTGATATTGCACTCGAGATAACCGAGATTGAAAAGTTTACTGGACGCAAAATGCCAACTGTTATCACTTAACTCTATTTCGTTATAAAGATGCTAGATCCGAAGTATTAACAAAAATATGTTTTAATAAATTTTAATTTAACACTGCAATAGTTTATCAACTAATTGTCTTAACTTTGGTGGTTGGAAATTGTCATACATGTTATGCGACACCCTAAATTGGTAGATCCTCTATCACCAAAATTGTTCTTGCGAATGAGTTTTATAGCTCCATCTGATGCTGCTGATAATATTCCCTTATTTGTCACACAAATGTCTTTGATTCGTGAATTATGAATTTTTGCATTTTTAATAGGTTTGTCGTGTGAAATATCCACCATTTCAATGCAACCATTTTCCAATCCCACCAAAAGAATCGAATCCTGTCAAAATAAAAATGAGATATTTAAAAGTTTGTCAAGATTACGAAGGGTAGTGTAGACAAATATGGAGATACTTACATTTAAAAAATTAGCACAGTTAACATCTTTTGTAAAGGTAACTTTTTGAACAGGTGCAGCAACATTAACATCGTAAAAATCAATTCGACGGTCAAATAAAACAATGAAATGCTTTTCGCTCGGTGACCAAATAATATTTTTTCCAATTTCCTTTAAATTGGTGACAAAAGCGTTTCTAGCTTTTACCAAGTCCCATGTAATAATTTTCTGGTCTTTGCCAACTGATAGTGCTAAACTACCTTTAGGGTGCACAGAAACACCATTGACACCTCCCTTGTGTCCTTTTAAAGTTTTTATCACGTTCCAATTAGAGGTGGTCCAAACACACAAGGTGGAATCTTCACTTCCACTGATTAAATAAGAATCATTTATAAATTTTAAACAATTTATGGTTCCTTCTTGTTGCAGTAGTGAAGAAACATCTCGCCGTGAGCTCATATCAAAGACTCGAATGAATTCATCAGTTCCACCCGAAACAACATAATTGCCGAATGCAGCAACACACTTGACAGTTCCAATGTGAGCTTCCTCAGCAAATGATTGCACAAAATTGTAATATTCGGCAGATTTATCTTTACTGACTGAAATTCCAACTAGATATTTTTGGTATGTACCAACGATGGCTTCAAAATTTGCTTTAACCATCACGACTAATCTAATTCTTTAACAAAATTGAAGTCACTAAACAATATTATTGAAAAAAACGTGAGTTGTGAATACAAAAAACCACGTTTCCAAGTAACCATTTCTTGGTGATCACAAAATTTAAAGCGCCAATATTTGAAAATAAAACACCACAACTTGTATTTAAAATCATTCTTAAAGAGTGAATCAGTTCCCAGTGTCATTCTTATATTTAATCATGAAAGTTTTCTCGCCCTTCACATTTATTTTTTCGGACTTGTGATTCTTTATAAATTTATTTTCATTTCAACTTTTCTTTCTTTCCGATATTGCTCTTTCAGATAAACCAAGTGATCACGTAATACTGAAACAATATGGTTCATCAAGTAGTAACTGTGGATACTAATCCATACGAAGGTCAAAAGCCTGGAACAAGTGGACTTCGTAAGCCAACCAAAATATTTCTGGAGAAACCAAATTACACAGCCAATTTTGTTCAATGTATTCTTGACTGTATTGACGATAAAAGTTGTTTGGTGATCGGTGGTGATGGTAGATATTATTAACATTTAATATTTAATATTAATATTTAACTCAGGCTATCGATTTTATCATCAAAATATGTGCTGGAAATGGTGTTAAACGTTTGATCATTGGACAAAATGACACTTCCAATGGCGGGCCTGCACCAGAAGGTTAGTATACATCTATAGTGGAATCTGAGTAATGCATCTATTTCCAAATTATTTCATTGTCTACGATTGAAAACTCTTACTGTTAACACTTACCAAACCTTTCAGTTTGCATGAGCGTTTGTTGTTACCCTCCAAGTGAACTCTTGAGTTATAATTATGGCAGCAAATATACTCTTCTCCTTTTCTCGATCTAAAGTAAAACTTGTTTGATGTATCAATGATAAGAGTCTTGAGAGTAATAGTAAGAATAACATTATGATATATTACATTAATCAATATAAATATATGATAATCAAAGCTCTTTGCTTTCCATCTTTTCAGGAATCACGGACAAAATCTTTAAATTGACTAAAGAGATCAAACAGTTCAAAACTGTACCAGATTTATCCATCAGCATTGATGAAGTCGGAACCCAAGAAGTTGTCATTGGCACAGACAAAATGATTGTTGAAATTATTGAAATGCATCTACGATGCCATTAAAATTAAATCAATACTTGCCAAACTATTGGGGATTATTCATTTGGTGCTGCCTTTGATGGAGATGGTGATCGTAACATGATTCTTGGTATAAAAGGTCTCTTTGTTTGTCCATCAGATCCATAATCAAAATGCCTCTAATTTCATGAATTTCTCATCGATATGAATTCTGAGGTGAGGTTCCTATTTTTGTATGGATTCAGGTCCATCAGTCCTTTCTTATTGTGTAATTTCATCTTCGAAACTGCTCAGTTTGGACACAATTTTGACGAAAAAGTTGTTGTTGAAACTTGGCTCAAGAATTTTAAAGGTTAGCATTATTTCAGTCCCACACTTACTAAATAATAATTTTGAATCAACATTGACTTCTATTCAGTTGAGGATATGCATTCATTTGAAGATTACGTCAAGACTGACATTGTTAGAGGAACTAAAAACTATCTTACCTTTGGTTCCGACTATTCCGGAGCTTGTGGCTGGATTCCTTCATTTAATGTATCTTTCTTGTGAATTCAGTCATTAATTCATTCTATTATAAAATACGATTATTGAGGCTAAATTGAACAAATTAATGCGAATTAAAAATTCCTTGCATAACTTCTTCTGTTCAATGTTTTCTCTATAAAAACGAAAAGATTTGAACAACGAAAAATAATCAATTTTAATTGATTCCTGTTTAGAAGATCTTTAAGTTGGTAAATCGAGAAAATGGCGCGTCAAAATAACTATAAGTGATGTTTGTAATAATCGGTTTATCATAACATGGTCACAAATTAGCTAGATCTTTGGTTCGTGATTTGAAAGACTGTCAAATAAGTTGTACAACAAGAGTTGGTTAAATAACCATTGTTCAATATTCAATCATACTACTTCATTCTCGTTCAAAATCGATCAATAAGTTCCGATGCATACAAAAGTTAATGACGATTTAAACAATTGGATAAGAAGCTCCATTAGCAATACCGCACATGTTGCTACCTCTGTACAATCTGAAGTAACCTGATTCACCGAACAACATGCCCCAGCTGTTCTTGATGATCCAAAATGGAATACCGTTTTCAGAACCGTACCCGACAACAGCAACAGCATGGTTATTATCTTTAGGGTCACTCGAGCACTCATCAGTATAATAAATACCAGATCTAAAGAAAAAAACATGGCGAAGAATCAGACAATCGTGCTTTTTTCGGAAAAATTCACTTACTCATATTCATAAACTGATGCAGCATCAATGCCGACTGCAACAACATGTTCAGCAACTGCAGCTAAAAGGGCTTCCTCATCACCTTCTGGTATATCGACAAAGGATGCGATCGAAGCACCCTTGTTGGATTCATTGTATCGACATGTGTGGTAATCTATTCCGTCTCCAGAAATGTATGGATAAGATTTTTCAGTATCAATACCTTTGTTGTCTTTAACATATGAGAAAGCATAATTTATCCAACCACCAGCACATCCTAGAGAACTATAGTTCCATGAGCAATCCAACACGTTTTGTACTGAAAGTTCAACAAGTTTACCAGTTTTTTGGGCATTGGCTGCTTCGATAGCAGCGATGGCTGAGAAAGCCCAGCATGCACCACAATCCTGCTGTTCTTTAACTTGACTAACGATTCCTTTGGTTCGCCAATCAACATAGGCTGCAGCTTTGACGGTGTTGTTCGCATTGTGAATGAGAGGTGCGGATCGACGAACAATTGACCTAGATCCATGATGTTTTGCTGTGAGTCCAAGATGTTTTGCTTTGAATTCCTCGGTGGTCTACAAGCAGTTTGATAAGTCAAATTATTTGATGCATAAGTCATATTAATAGTATTTCAGAGTTTTCAACTCACCAAATCAGAGAACTTGTTGATTCCTTTTCTGTGCGTAACTTCACCATTGTCTGCTCTTTCATTGTGAGCCTTGATCTTTTCCATTTTCTTGGCAAAAACACTTCGTCTGTAAGTTTCTTCTGCCTCCGATTCATAAGATTTGCCATATTTAATCTGTTAAACAATAAAACATGAATGAGAATCCCTCAAAAAGCACATAATCGAGTCTATTGGCCTAAAATGAACTTACCTTGAATGATTCCCATTGGGAGTCGAGTGAAAGGTTAGCAGCAGTGGCCAAGGCAAATAAAGCAATGAATAAAGCAGCTCGAATCATTTTGATTGGTAGTTGTTGAGTGAACAATAATTAATTATTAGACTAATTCTAGCTATTCATTTTATATACTGCTAAATCTGTGATTAAAAATTGGGTGAAATTATGATGAAATTAACAGCAATAATAATGAATTTCACTTTGAATTAAATCAAATCATCAAAAATCACGAGTTTCATTAACCATCGCGAAGATGAGATTTCGATCACAAAATTTATCAAAACTATTTTTCGTTTAATTGATAACTCTATTGTTTCGCATAAAATTTTCTCGGAAATAATTTTCAGAGCTACAATTATGTCTCCTAAATTTTATCTAAAAAAATCATAACCTTTAGAAATTTCACAAATAATAGTAAGATTGATCATCATTGATTGAAATTATCTTCAAAAATTAAATTTCAGTTACGAATGTAACAATGAATGTCATTTCTGTGAACCCAAATAACCAGTGAATGATGTTTTGTATCAAATAAACATAATAACAAACAAAGCCATTATTTTACTGAAAGCCCAAAATCAACCAGAATTTATTTGATTCATTTTAACGGTCGCTACTAAAAAGATACAATAACACATTTATGCAAAAATTGACACAAATACTTCAAGAAAAATGGGCAAAAACGGGTAAAAATAAATTTCTTTCAAGTTCAGACACTGTTGGTTTGAACTCGAAAATTTCGAACAGAGAAATTTACAGATTGCAGAACCGAATTGTATTGCTTATTAATACTTTGTATGAAATTAATTGATTGATTAATTGACTAATTAGTTGATCAAATTTCTCAGTGAATATTACATGATGTGAATATAATCTTCATTTGTTTCTCATGCAATGGCAAAATACAAAACTTATCTTTTTATTGCGATTTCATTTTTGATTATTTGGGAGTGCTTAATTAGTGATAGTAATTTATATCCGGCTTTCTGTTTCGATATTTAGATGAAATTATTTGATAAACAGATGAAACAATAAAAAGCGATGATATCAAACACATATGCATCAGTTAATCAACAAGTTTCATTAAAAAACATTTAATTCCTTCTTTTGAGCCAAAACTGTAAAAATGATCGCAACTCTCTTCGTTGTCTTTGCTTTTGCTTCTTCAGCTCTTGGTTTTTGCCCATCAACTCCAGTTATTCCTGCGGCTGATATTGGTGCAGTAAGTTTATAAGATTTGTGTAATTTAATTTGTTTAGCCAATATGCTTGACATATCCATTAATTTTGTGTTTTATTGATTTAGATTTCAGGTCGATGGTTAGCAACTCTTGGTGATTCTCCACAAAATTTAACAGACATTACAATGGATTTCACTCCTCGAGTGGATGGAAACTTCAATCTTACAATTAGTGGCACTCATCCTGAGTGAGTAAGCATAATTAATTGATTTGAATAGTTTTAATACGATAAATTCATTTACCATCTAGTGGCTCAAAGAAAAGTGAACATTGGTTAGCTGAACGTACTAGATATCAGCGACAACTCAATATCTACGATTTTTCAAAAAGTAAGTAATCATTGCTGATGTGCCTCATTCATATCACAATTTAACAATTGATCGATACTGCATTATTTTTTCTATTATTTTCCATTGCAATTTATAATTATTCTGACAATTATCTTCCATTTTCCAGAAAATCCATACAGAGTTAACTTCAATGTAATGTTAACTGATAATTATGTCAACTACTTCAGTGGTTATTTCTGTTTGATTCTTCCTACTCGCTCCTTCTCCGGTAAGTATCTTTCAAGCTGAATAGCCAGATGTTTCTTCATGTAAATTGATTTGTATTAATAGTGATCCAATTTTCATCATAGCATACGGTGGAAACTTCTCTAGGACTGACCCCATGAATGCTGACTGATTTGCTTGTTGATAAATTTGGCGCTTCCAGCGATAGAGTTGGACCAATAATCCATTAAGATCAAATATTGGCTAGCTTCTCACGAGAAAAGTACCGAAAGTCATTCGAATATTTTTAAAATTTTATCATACAACAATTAGGTTTTATGACTGTTTAATCTTCTCGAAATCCTTCGGGTAGCAAATTAAAGATTCACGAGAAAAACCGAATCAAAATTCAGTTTTTACATGTAAAGTATGGTAATGAGCAACAAAACGAAATGAAGGAAACAAAAAGGCTCATCGCAATGGGTTCATATTATTGCTTTCACATTGATCTATGCATAGCGATCGACAGTAAATGGCGGTTTGCGAACCTTCTAGACATTTTCTACTCAAAAGACGATGAACTATATTGTTTGTTAGTGTTTTACAATATTAGGATACAATATTCATTCACTTTTGATGAAATAACAAACTTATCTTCTTTGATTTCATTGGCCATTGTTTGGAAAGTGTCATTTTTGATCGGTAATTTTTATAAGATTTTAGATGAAATTATTTAATAAACCAATGAAATAATTAATAAATATTGATGATATTAAACATGTTAACCACAGTTAACCAGCAAGTTTCATTAAAAAACATTTAATTTCTTCTTTCTTTTAAATCTCAGAAGTCATTTGTCCGTAAGGTTATTAAACAGGTACGCAAGATACTTGGGTGATTTGTTCAAATCCAGACCAGGATTTAATCCAGAAATGATAAGTACATAGTTTAGGGATAGCCTGTATAAAATGGAAGAAACAATGAGTTAGATTAATTTGTAATTTTCAAAGAGTTGATCTTTGCAGACATAAATTCAAAGTGAAAACTTACATTAGGTGACACTTTACATGAAGAAGCATCGGGTTCAGATTTAACACAATCAGTCGCACCAATCAAGAATTTAATTTCATAAAGCATTCCAGCTACAATTTCACTTGCAGCTTTTTTAATTTTAATCAGTTTATTGTAATAAATATTGTTGGAATTCTTGTTGTAGCACTCAACACCTTTAGCAGCTAACTGAACAACAGTTGGATCGTCAACAGGGAGTATTTTCCATCCTCCTAAAAAGTGCTTGGTTGGCTCGATTGAAGTTGCAAAGGCAGCTCCGAAAAGACAAACTGCTATTATGATGAATTTCATTTTGTAGGGATTTCTTTGAACGAGTGAAAGGGTGTAGAGTTAACTGGTTCAATGTTGGATTAGATGTCAATTTAAAGTGGAAAAGAGTCAATGTTATATATACGAAAGGAAGGAGTCAATTATTTTATTTGACTGAATGAAACTGGAAAATTCAATTGAAATGCGATAATAACAACTTGAAAACTTTATATATGAATAGGTATCATGTTCAAAGATCAGCAGATAAATTGCGCTAATTGTTACGCAAAATTTTCATTTCTTTTTTCTTTTTTCAATGAATTTCCCAGGTTGTTGTTTGAGCGTAGGCGAAGACTTTAAGATGAAAAAAGTATCAAATTACCAACTCTAAAGCAAAAACCTGTCAACTGATTTCAACCAAATTTCATATTCAACATCTCCAGGTCTTGGGGCATCGCATGGTTGACATGCATTCAGACAAATTCATTGACCCCAAATGTGGTCATTTTCAATTTAAGACGATGACATAAAAAGTAAGCCTAACAATTCATACAATCCTGAGAATCTCAGGCTGAGATAAATTTGTGAAATTGGAAAGAAAATTTTGCAAAAACTTTTCATACATCATGTACCTAGGTATTATGTATTATATTTCTATTCTTCGGTCTTTTTCTCTGTCTATCAAAATCAAATTTACCATAGAATCCTTTCTTTTTTCACATTGACAAACAGATTTTCGAATCATTTAGAGCTTAAACCGATTTTGATCAAACTGTTGACACATTGAATTTAATTCAATTTGCGTTCAATTTTCCAATCAATTATTTCTCATTATATTTATAAACATATTATTCAATCGTTGACAATTTTCATCACTATTCTCATCATTAACACAATCTATGTTTTCTCGCCCTTCACATTTATTTTTCAAACTTGTGAATCGTTATAAATTTATTCTCATTTCAATTTTTCTTTCTTTCCAATATTGTTCTTTCAGATAAACCAAGAGATCACGTAATATTGAAACAATATGGTTCATCAAGTAGTAACTGTGGATACTAAAGCATACGAAGGTCAAAAGCCTGGAACAAGTGGACTTCGTAAGCCAACCAAAATATTTCTGGAGAAACCAAATTACACAGCCAATTTTGTTCAATGTATTCCTGACTGTGTTGACGATAAAAGTTGTTTGGTCATTGGTGGTGATGGTAGATATTATTTAACTCAGGCTATCGATTTGATCATCAAAATATGTGCTGGAAATGGTGTTAAACGTTTAATCATTGGACAAAATGGAATTCTTTCTACCCCGGCAGTTTCCTGTATCATAAGGAAAAGATCAGCCTCTGGAGGAATCATTTTAACGGCCAGTCATAATCCTGGTGGGCCAGATGGAGATTTTGGAATCAAATATAACACTTCCAATGGCGGGCCTGCACCAGAAGGTTAGTATACATTTATAGTGGAATCTGAGTAATGACGTATTCTACTCTCAAATTCTTTAATTATCTACGATTGAAAACTCTTAAACTTATCAAATCTTTCAGTTTGCATGAGCGTTTGTTGTTACCCTCCAAGTGAAAATACCCTTGATAATACCCTTGCTTCTTGCTAGAGTGATTAACGATTATCGTAAGATTTGGTGGTAGTTGATTCTTTTATAGTCAAGATCAATCGGAAACAGATGATTCTTAATTAGTGTCCATATGTTTGCTATGGGAAGTAAAAAGGCAAGGGAATTCCCTTTATTCTGTAATTTCAATTAAGATTGACTTTTTCAGATCACTCAAATGCTATCAAAAGAAATGTGACAAATCAAATTTAGCATGTTTTACCCGTTCAACTGTCAATCTCTTATTATCATCATCATCATCTGCAAATTGAAATAAATAATGAAATTTTTAAATTGAATTTTCATTTGTTGGGAAAAAGATTTTCTTTGAAATGCAGATTCGTTCGTTTAATCGTTTATTTCCCTCTTGTTTGGATTATATTGGATAGCATCAAAAATTATCGAATTAGTTAAATGAGATCATTCAATCATCGAGAAATTTTTAAGGTCACAAGATCGAGCTTAACTGTTAAACTAGAAATGCGCACTGTAAACACGTTTCTGAACCAAAAAGATATATGGCAAGCTACATTGGCCTTTGCAACTGAAGTTTTATTAGTGAATAAAAGGGATTTCTTTGCATTGTTTTGTTACACAGCAAACACATGGACATTAATTAAAAACATTTGATTGACACAAATTTCATTCAATATCGGTCGTTCAAAGTTAAGTAACGTAACAGTCATGTGTGATCCAAGTGTTCTGAAGCAAATTGCTTAGCGATTCAATAGAAGCAATCAAGAAATATCATCCTGAAAAAATTGCAGCTTCTATCGAGTTTCGTTTGCGAGTTCATTGAAAAAACGTCTTAACTTTAGAGTACGATTGTGACTGAACGCGAAACCTTCCGGAACTTTTGATGTCTCATAGAAAATTATTTTAAAATTAACAAAGGTCAGTTTTTCATGGTTATATTCTTTGGTTAAATAACAACTTTATTGCTATGGTGCCTCTAAGTTCAGTTTGTTTGTTAGTTTTATTCAACTTTATTTTTTGAGAGAAAGCTTGGAATTAACTAGAGTTGGTTAAGAATAGATTAAACCACTATCTCATAACTTCGAGTGATAGTGGTTTAAAATATTTACACCACGAAAGTAAAAGATAGCCAACACAAAATTGAAGCAAAAGGCAGTGAAAAAATCACAAATTAGAGATAAAAATCACAAAAATGAGAAAACAATACGCTAAACTAATTTCAGATTTTGTTTCATTTTTTGACCAGTCAATTTGCTCTTTTCGTATTAAATTAAATTATTAATTAATTAGTTGTTAAATATGAATTTCCATATGATTCGGTAAAGTATACAACAAAGACCCAAAGCTTGTTGAGATTCAATGGCTAAACTTCCGTATCCAGCCTGCTGAATTTCTTGATGAAACTTTGTGTACTTATAGAACTCGACGAGCTGAGTCTAAATATATAGGTCATTTTATGCGGAAACGCCCCCTAGCGGAGATAATTCCACTTGTACGAAAACGCGTTTTAGGCCATTTTGAGCGTTGCGCATGCGCATAGAAACATTTTTTTTGACCTCGACTGATTTTCGTGGGCTGACCGATGTGTATGCGAAGTTTCAAGACTCTAGCAATCATACTTGCAGAGATATGGGGCAATATACATAAAATACAAAACATATACAAAATCATTAGAAAACAATAAAATCTCATTTCAAAGGCATTGAATGTCCATATGTGAACACTAAACACTAAAATGAATCGTAACTATGGTACTTAAAGACATAGGTTAGTTTAGGTTAGGTTAGGTTAGGTTAGGTTAGGTTAGGTTAGGTTAGGTTAGGTTAGGTTAGGTTAGGTTAGGTTAGGTTAGGTTAGGTTAGGTTAGGTTAGGTTTTTTTTTTTTTTTTTTTTTTTTTTTGAGTTTAAAATAACTTTTATTGGCCGACCCAATACTTACAAAAAGTCCCGAGGCTAATGCTCAGGTTTGGTGTACATTACAATTACATGTTTTGTGTGTCTGACGTGACGTGACGTGTCTGACGTGTCTTACATGACGTGTCTGACGTGACGTGAAATACAATTTTCTATTACAAAGTTTAAGTGGTGGTCGTAGATGACCTTTTACAATAATTGTGTGAAGATTCACACAAGTGTTTGTATATAAATTTACATGCAGTAAGTCGTTAAAACAACTCTGCTGTCCCTGACGTGTCTGACGTGTGCTCCGTGACGTGTCACATTGCACTTACATTTTTCGGGCCTTTCTGTACCGGGGGGGATTACCCTCCAGTGTATCTACTGCTATAGCTATGTGCCGGTTCTTTTCTTTTATGCGTCTTTTCTTTTGATTCCTCTGATTTTGAGACTTCTAATTTTCCTGTTGCTATTCTCCTGTGATTCCTACTTTGTTTGACATTAATCTTTTTCATGACTTTACTCTTATGTCCTCTGACGTGAAGAGTCTGACCTTACGTGACATGACAAGCCTGACGTGTCTGACGTGACGTGACTTACGACGGAACTTAAGCATTTTTACACTGAAGGGTTTTACATGTTTTTTATGGTATACGTTGTTACCGGTGGTAGATACATCTTTCAGGGTTTGAGGATCTTATGAGGGGAAGAGGATTGAATGCGTAACAAATGAAATTTCTGTTATTAATATCTTTATTGAGAAAAGAATTGATTAATTTTTAGTGCTTGAACTGAATTACGTGATTATCTAAGGCTTCCCCTGTTTGGTGTTAAACATTTTGTTCTTTCCTTATTAAGGAAAGAGTTTTATTAAGAGAAGAAAAGAAAGGAGAAAAATTGAAAAGAGAAAGTCGAACTGTGAAATCGAAGCGTGATAAATGAGTGATTTGAACTGCTGTGGATAAAGAATTAAGATTTTGAATAAGTAAATTGATTAACTATTAATGTTTAACTAATTGAGAAGTCTGAGGTATTTATGAGGGGCTGCTGGTCAAGTGACGTGACTTGACGTGTCTGAAGTGACGTGTCCATTCGGGTTAACGTCCTTATGAATCGGTGCTTCTAGTGCTTCTCTTGACTTGAAGACGATGATGCCGTAGTTTCCGCAGTAATCATTTTCTCAAAACGTTCCTGATCTTGAATGGCGCATTGGTGCATCTCCTCTCTCCTTGCTGGTGGTAGCGGAGGGTTTGCTCTTGAGTACTCATCCCAGGCTCTCTTAAGTTCGTTATATCTGCCAGCTTGCATCATAGTTGGAAATACTTGTGGGAACGGTGGGACCACTGTTGGGTGCCAAATTCGATAGTGACGTGGTAGATTAGAGGATTTCTCTTTCTCCACTCTCAAACAGCCAATGATTGGACACTGTTTGACCTTTATCGAGATCGCTTGCTCATATTTACGAGCGTTAAATTCCTCGAGGAGGGTCCGTCTCTTCTTTCTCGCTTTCCTTGCTGCTCTTTTCTCTTTTTCCCTGGCTTCTCTATCGCTATCTTCAGCTTGTTTAGATCTTTTATTGTTTTCAGGTGAAGTGTCAAACAGCAGTTGTTTCCTCGCCTCAGCTGACTGTAGCTGATTACTTTCCAATAGCGAAGATTCGCTTTGTCTCTTATTCTTTGGGGTCACCTGGTGACCTGACGTGCTTGACCTGACGGGTACTGACGTTGCCAATTTACGCTCCAA